ATAAAGTGTGTGACTGCACACTTTACAAGGAAACATAAATTTTATACACACTGGAAAACCAAAAAACTCATGTGCCTTGCTTTTTTTTTTTTTTTTTTGAGACGGAGTTTCGCTCTTGTTACCCAGGCTGGAGTGCAATGGCACGATCTCGGCTCACTGCAACCTCCGCCTCCTGGGTTCAGGCAATTCTCCTGCCTCAGCCTCCTGAGTAGCTGGGATTACAGGCACACGCCACCATGCCCAGCTAATTTTTTGTATTTTTAGTAGAGACGGGGTTTCACCATGTTGACCAGGATGGTCTCGATCTCTTGACCTCATGATCCACCTGCCTTGGCCTCCCAAAAGTGCTGAGATTACAGGCCTGAACCACTGCACCCAGCCTGTGTGCCTTGCTTTATTGTGACATTAGCTTTATTGCAGTGGTCTGGAACCAAACCCCAGTTTCTCCAAGGTATGCCTGTATATAGACAGATATTGATACACATATATGTGAATGGTATACACACTTCATGTGTGTGTGTATGTCTATATATACACACTTATATATGGCTGTTCTCCACTGCCAGGATGCATCGGGTCCTGTGCACTCTGGCACATACTGTTCATTCTAGCCGTAATAACCTCCCCACAGCCACCTCTTTTCTATCCAAATTAAGTCTGCTGCCTCACCCTTCAACCTTGCATCTCTCCCACAACTCTCCATCTCCCACAACATCCACAGTGAATTTCTACAACCACAAAATTGTGTAAGATCAGGGACTGAGTGACTTCAAATACTATATAGTGTGACATGGAAAAGCTGAAAATGATAGTGCAGACATATTAAGTCATCCCACCAAGGAACTATTCTTGAAAGTTTCAGAAACTTTCTGGTCACTGACATGCACAGTTGCTACCTGAGTTCCCTGGACAATCACAAATGCATTCAAGTAAATGTATTTATACAGATAAACAAAAACTGCAATTTCATAGAACTCTTTACTATCTTCAACCACCAACACCTAGCCCTGTTCCTGATATGGACTACAGAATCATTATGTGGCATGTCTCTTTTGAGACATGAGGCCAAACCAGGAGCAGGCAGTGGTCAGATACTTTGGGCTCCACAGGTTAGTTGCTGAAACCTTTCTCTCCTCCTTGGATATAGAAAGCAGTCCAATTGACCTGACAGCAAACCACCAATTTTTACCATAAAACACAATATGCATCTGTCCAAATAAAACTCTGAAAGTGAGATGACAAGAGCTGAAGACACTAGTTCAAAATCATGTCCCAGCCATTTTTTGAGACATTTATATTCAGAGAAATAAAAACGTTACTTTTTAGGAATTCCACTTCCCCATGAAATTTCTGATTTGAAATTAATTCCTACTGATAAAAGGACAATACAGAAACTTGCCCTAAATCAGTTACCACAGGAATAACCACCTATCCTGGGAGGTACCTGCTGCATCTGGCACCTTATCTTGGCTCTCTTCAAGTTTTCTTATGTGTCAATAACACCTAATAATACATAGTGCTAATGCTCATACATAGTGCTTTGTGTCAGGCATTCTTCAAAGCATTTTGCATAGATCCCATTTACCACAATTTGAGAGGTATGTTTTCCCACTTTACAGATGAAAACTGAGACACAGAACAGTTGTTGCCTAAGATTTGATCATTTATTTCCTCCTCAGACAAACTGGATTGCTCCCCATTACCTGATTAATTTAAACTTGAGACACAATATACAAGTCAGATTTCATATGAAAAATCAGATATACAGTTACTGGGATTTCATTTAGAATCCCATCTGGAATTCTAAGGGTCTAAAGCTAGGCACAAACTGTGAATAGAAACTATCGGCTGGAGCACAGTAGCAGTTGTCTACATTGGACGTCTCCATAGTTGTTCACAGTTGCCACCAGTCACACAAAGTATGTTCCACTTGCTTCCATTACTGACCTGGCCTCTAAAGGCCTTCACCACATTGCCCTAAAACCATCATCTGCCTACTTGTCTCCCCTATCCTCCAAGAATAAGCTCAAATGTCACCTCCTCATAAGTATTTCCTAATTATTCCAGCTGAAATTTATCTCCAGCTTCTGAATTCCCCCTAGCATTCTGCTTATTATGACACATCACACTCTCCTTTGTAATTAGTTGTGTATATGCTTCCCTAAGAACAAGGTAGAAACTCTGAGTCAAGGTTAAGTAACCAATTCTGTGATCTTGGGCAACAAAACTGAACATAGCATCCTGTGCTCTAGGATTTGAGCCCTAGATAAATCAAAGAGCGAGCATTAGCCCACAGAAAAGGGTAGAGAGAAGTGACTTTACGTACACACACATATATACACACACATTCTCTCTTTACTCTTCATGCTCTTCTGTCTGCCTACTATTTATGGAAAAATCATGAGACAACTTGATGAATGTGTTATTTTTTTTAATAGAAACCACATCACTTCATATGTTACAGTATGTAATTCAAGAGACCCCCAGAAAGTTTTTTCATCCACAAAATAATAGAAAGGATGAGCTCCCTTACCACCCAGGGAGTTTTGAAATAAGACCTCCCTGGAAATTCCATGCTGCGGTTGATGTTCTACCTACTTTTCCTTGTTTTCAGTCTTTGGTTCATTTTTTTGTTTTGATCTCTATTCTCTTACCACAATGACATGCTGCTTCCAGAATGGAACTCTGTCTTCAAGTTTTATACTAGTTAAGAGGCCAGTCTGTCAGCTTGCCTTAATATGTAATGGATGTCCTAATTTAGCTGAGGAACCTGGACAAGTCTTCCTTGATTTCAGCTTCATCCCAAGGCCCATGAATGTTTTCTTTAAAAAGCTGCAAGCGAATGAGGTAGAATGGACAGAGACATGAGATAGATACCAGCAGAAGGGCAAAGAGTATGGCTCCCACAGCACTAATGGACAGTAGGCCTCCCAAGGCTGAAAACGCAAACATCAGTGTGACCCCCACATAGCTCCGGGGAGTACATGCCTTTAGTTTCTTCTGTAACATGGGCCATAGGGCAAAGATCTGAATGGCAAATGTCACCATGATGAAGGCATGCAGGGAGCGGGGAAGGCGTGATGCCAAGCATACAGAAGCAAAGATGGCCATGTTCAAGGACAGTGTGCTGGATACAATGGCAGCATTGGCACCATAGTCAAAAAAAATGAGATGGCCTAACAGCATGAAGACTGACATGGCATAGATGGTGTCAGTGCTGACAGACTCTGTCAGGGTCTTTAGCACTGGTGAAAACCCATAAGTGAAAGTAATGAAGACTAGGGCACTCTTCAGGTCAGCCCACCGTGTCTGCCCACTCTTCCTTCGCCCTTCACCTCCATCAATGAGATCAAACAAAACATACCCAATCAGTGAAGAAGCCAGGCCAGCCCCAAAAAGCCAATGGGGGGCCAAAAGACCCTCATCCATATACCACCAGATAACTACAAAAACACAAACACTGCACAGCTGTTGGATCACCACACTGGACTCAAATACCACAGCCCAATATTGGTATTTCCGAGCGTGGATGTTTTTCCGAAGCTCTTCCAGGAACCGCCGGTCCACATAGTTATCTGGAAAGGGCTGTCGCTCATACAAGATCTTCTGCCACTTGACCTCCTTGGTGTTAGTTACAGGTTGGGCACACATTATCCTTTCATTCAAACTCAGGCCAGTTTAATCACTGCCCTCACAGAAGTCCGGGTGGTTCCTGTTCTCTATGAAGTTTTGAAATGAGACCTCCCTGGAAATTCCACGCTGTGGTTGATGTTCTACTGAACTTTCCTTGTTTTCAAAGGCAGCAACCCAGGCTAGGCCTACAACAGATGAGTTTGTCTCTGAAGCAGGACAACACAGCCAGGTTCCTAGAAAAAGAGAGACTGTGAACCTATGAAAGTTGTGAAAGGTCAAGGGTAGTACTGAGTTAAAGCCAAATCATTCAGTTTACTAAAAGTCTGAGCAAAATGTATTTGGTAGTCACCTTATCAATTTGGGATATTAAAACTGCATTTCAGATTTGAAAATTGTAATTCCTTGAATAATAATATGCATCTGTTAGCTATCACTTATTGAGTGCCTACTATGTGCTAAGTGCCTTATGTATCTTCTTTCACTTAATCCTCACAACCTTGCAAGTTAGTATTAGTCCTGCTTTAGTAAAAAAGCTGAGATTCAAAATGCTTAAGTAACTTTGCCGTAAGGTAACAGGGCGGAGCCAGCGTTCAAACCAGTCTTATCCCAAAGCCTGTGTCTCACATTGTATTTCCCTCTAAACCAGTTCATAACTCTCTGGTTCACATACCCCTCAGGTATATCACATTGCATGCTTATATCTGCATTTGTGTAAATTTATAGGGAAAATATCCATAGCTTTTATTGGTTCTCAAAGGCATGTTGTTTATATTTTTTAAGTTACCGATCCAAAGACAATAAATAGTAAGCTGCACTATACAGAAAGATACGAGTGCTGCAGTTTATTTAGCCAAAATCAAAGACTCAAAGAAACTACACTTTTCTTCCATTAGCTGAGCTTAGCATACTTTAAAGAGCTATCATTCTACTCAAAACGGCGAAACTCTTGCGAGGATCGAAGAAGATAATCATCCCTTTTTCACAATGGGAAAACTAAGAGTCAGCAACACCACAGCCATCTGGCAAATCAGAGGAAAATAATTTCATAAATGCCCGACCTAACTTCTTCCATGAAGACAAGTGCTGCTTGGCAAGTCAGACACCATTATTCCTCTCTCCGCTGCGGGGATCCCAGCCCAGGAATTTCAAGGCTATCGCCGGGGTTGGAGGGTCTGCGGCGCCCAAAAGGGCAGCGCCCGCCGGCAAAGTGGAGTTGGGAGGGGACAGGATAGGATAGGGTGACCCCAGGGGCGTGCCATCACTCTCCAGGTCTCCCACTCCCGCCGCCGCCCCTCACCCAGCCTTAGGCCTGCGGGGGACAGCAGAGGAGAAGGAGCCCCGGAAACACACGATTACGTGGAACCCACCTGCCCGAGAATTCCTGGGGATGCGCAGCTGCGGGGCGGCGGCCCTCAGACTTTTTCCCCCTCCGGTGTGCCGGGGCTGCGACTGTGGCCGAGTACTTCCGGGTCCTCCGCTATCTCCTCCGCGAGGGTGCCCTTCCCCAGCTTGAGCCACCGCGCCGAGGCTGCTGCCCTCTCCTGGCTGCTCAGAGACCGCCAGGCTCCCCTCCTGAAGATAGGCCTAAACCCGAACGCTCTAAACTTAGGAAAGCAAATCCCCAACAATCCCCTACAGCAAAACGGGATGTGCCATCTGAAGGGCTGGGTAAAGCAGGAGAGGGACAGGAAAAGAGGCTGGGCCAGTAGGTGAGAGATAATGGCCACTTCCGTTGCGCTCCTTTTATTAAGTCAGGCCCTCAGCTAGGGACTTCCCTGCATGCCTTCATTCCACAGATACTGGCTGAATGCGTGCAGGTAGCAAGCCCTGTTTGTGATGCTCACGATGCAGCCCTGAACTAAACACAAAAACTGCTGCTCTCATGAAACTCTCTTTTTTGTGCATTGATCTTTACACTGATTATATCATCTCCCCTCTCAAAGAGGACAAATCTAAGGCTTAGATAAATTGTATTTGTCCAAAGACAGGCACCTGGGAAGTAGATGAACAGAGATCAATATCCAGTTGTCTATAGCTTCGAAGCTTGGTTTTTCTCCTCTTTACCTCCTAAGAGGGGTGAGGAGAAGACTGCTAATTCAAGTGAGTTCATGGAAATATTAAAGGATGTATGAACAGATGGAGGTAATAAAGAAACAAAGGGATGTAGTAAAACACAGGTTACACTGGAAACGAAAGTTAGAAAACATGACCCATTTACTAGCTCCATGACTGAGGTCAAATCACACTATCTGACCTTTGATTTCTTCATCAGTAAAATGGAGATGACACTATTTGCACTTGGTTGCTTTATGGGATGGCTAAAGAGTTAAATATAAAATATAAAAATGTTTTGTAAAGTGTTTACTATATGGTTCCTGTTAGCTGACTTTGGCCATCATAATGAGAGCAATGCTCAAGAGTGATACATTCTGTAAACATGATCTCTATTTCCCTCTAGGCTTCTGTTCAAAAATTTGACAAGATTCCTTGGCTTAGTGAGGCCAGCCTTGTAAACAAGCCATTAGTGCTCAGCCTCCCCAGAAGGTAACCTCTCAGCCACTGAAGGCAAAAGTTTTATGAAACGTCTACAGAAGATGATTTCGTCTTACGGGATGGGGACAGTTATCAGAGGGCACATTTGATCCATTGGGAAACCCAAGTCAAGTGCTTTAAAAGTAGAAATATTCTGGGTTTCTCAGATGAAAATTATCACTGAATATAGGCCTTACTCTTAATAAGTACTCTATCTCTTAGTGCTTTTGTTCCTTAAGACTTTGAGTTTCTTGAAACTCTAATTGTCTGCTTTAGATATATTCAAAATTATGTAAAAATAACACAACTGAATAATGAGCACTTGAAAGCACTTGTGCATTTTGTTCTGAAAATACATAAAACTGTCTACCTGTTTATTGAGAATGTGATTTTTTTTTCATGTGTAGACAAAGCAAAGGTGTGTGTTACTAAAGTGGGCATGTGGAGAGAGTGGCCAGGGGAGATGACATCTCAAATTACTTCCCTCTCTACCACTGCCACTAAACGATGTGAGAGAATTTTACCTCTAGACACTGCTTCTCAAAACACTTCCATCCTCTTCCTCACCCCACCTTTTCTCCACTGCTTTAGTCTGAAATTTTCACATTTTTACCATCAAGTCTAGAACAATAAATTCCCGTCTTTAGAGAATAGTAACCCTGTATGTAATTTTGAGGCACTCTCCTACAATCCTATTAGTCCTTCTACTTCTAGACACACTGCTGTATGACACATACATCCGTTTTTCAAAGTTGCAGGAATTACATGTCTAGGGAGCATTTCAGCTGTCCCTTGAAATAATTGGGTTACCTTGTTCCTCCTCCACTTTTGATGAAATGGTTCCTAAGTGTAGTGATAAACCCCACTCTGGGAAGGGGACATGGACGGAAGGGTGGGTGTGAAGTAACGTTGGGGTGAATGGGAGAAACCAGAAGGAGGGCAGAGAAAGGGCAGGCATGGAGGCCACTGGAAAGGCACATCACAGACTAAAAATGATTGACTCCTTGGCATGTGAGACAGCTCATAAAAGCCAGACTCCCTGAAAAGAGTTTCTCCTCCTGCTGGCAACTACCATGTATCCTCCTGCCCATGGATAAGTGACTTCATAAGTGACTTCCCATCACTCTCTCCACATCCCCACTTTAGTAACACTTTGCTTTGTCTACTACACATTAAAAAAAATCACATTCTCAGTAAACAGGTAGACAATTTTATGTATTTTCAGAACAAAATGCACAAGTGCTTTCAAGTGCTCATTCAGTTGTGTTATTTTTACATAATTTTGAATATATCTAAAGCAGACAATCAGAGGTTCAATAAACTCAAATAAATTCCTATTTAGGAGACAAAAGCACTAAGTGATAGAGTGCTTAACAACAGTTGTTAACACTGCGCAGATCAGCATGAGTAAGGACAGTCTAGCATAATTTAATTGAGGATGGAACACAAACTCACAGGCCTATGACAGTCAGATGAGGGGCATAATGAGTACAGCTGGCCAAATAGGACTGTGGCGAATGGGAAATCACCTCTCCATTTCAGTCCACCCTCACCCCAGCAGTGTTATCTGCAGCCGTGTGAGTTCAGAAGCCAAATCCAGTGGGTTTTCTAACAGTACTAGAAATCTGGATGTTTTATGTGAAATTGCTAGTGTTTGATCTAATAGGGTACCATCCCACCGTACCCTCATGCCCATTAGATCTGCCCTAGAAGCCAAGAGCAAAGCATCCTTTGCATGGCTCTCTTGCCCTCAGCTCCCTTGGTCTCTAATTATACAAGCCTTTGGCAAAGGGCGTAGATCAGGGAGAACAGTAGGCTCAGAATACAACTGAGCATCTGCAGCCCCTGTTCACTTTCACAGCCAGGCCCTGGAGGGTCAGAGCAGACAGTCTGTTGACAGCCAGCTGGAAAGGGTAGTTATTCCTCCAGCCAGCCAAACCTAAGCTAGGTGCAAAGAAAAATCACCTTAGGCAGGCAGTAAAGCTCTACTCATTGCTATTCTGGGAGGATTGGGGTAGCCATCTCAATTCTTGTTTGGAAAAATAGAGTTCGCCTATCTCACAAGAATTCTAAGATGACAAACAACATCTTTGAGGTGCCCTGAGCTCTCAGGAGGACAAGAAAAGAATGTAAAGTCTTTTGAAAGGATGGTTTGTTTGAATACCAACAGATCTTAAGCATTAGAAGCTCCTCATGTGGCCCAAAGCTCTGGGTTCCACAGTGTTTATTTTTGGCAAAGCCCCTTTCTGAGACTTTGGGAGAAAGTTCTCAATGTGCCTTACGTATTACACACCCTTAAGCAAATGCAGAACAGTCTGAAAAAGATAAAGGAACATTTAGCCAAATATGCTCAGAGTAATTCCAACTGAGAGCACTGGAAACACACCCGCGGGGTTGGAGGAGGCGAGGCTGGGCTGTAAGGAGAAATGCCTGTACTGACCTACTTCCTTCAAGGATTCTCTCAGGTTGTCTGACAATTTCAGAGCCACACTCATCATTAGTCTCCAAAGCCCTTCATGTCACACTAAGGTCCTGTTTATGTAAGATTATTGTGTGCTGAAGGAGTTCAAAACTGGCCTCCTGGTGTCTCCTGGTCAAGTCCAAGGCAGCCTATTCCTATAACAAAGAGAAGTTCCTGAGGGAACTCATGTCAGACCCACCTCCCCAGTCTCATAGGGCCCAGGGAAATGTGAGAAGAAATGAAACAAGAAATGCCTCCTGAACATTGAACTCCTTTCATATGCCTTTGTTTTCAATGAATAATGGACAATGAAATCTTTCCTCATTAGAGAGGAGATGTGTTCTTGGCAAAATTGCCAGCATTCTGAGTTTCCATTTCTTGGATGCCAGGGGTATGAATGATGCCACACACACAAACAGTTTAAGATTATCAGGCCCCTGCAGGCCTTGGCCCTTTACACTATAATGAAATGAACCACAATGCCAAGTGAGACAGAGCGCAGGCAGATCACTCTGTAAAAAGAACTGGAGTCCTTGCAGCATCACTGCTTCACCTGCTAACGAGAAAGACAAAATGTTCCAAAGGAAAGGAGTGGGTGGAGGGAGAAGACACTGTGGGAGGAAGCAGGTGGGTTGCCTCAGTGTGCAAGGACACAAACTCCAAGAAGTCAGGCCAGGTATGAAAGGGGACAGGCACTGGTTAAACATCAAAAACTTCAGTGCAGACCCTTTCAAAGAGGAAACATGGGATTCATTTCACTCATTACGCATCTGCTGTTGGGAACAATCTTTATCCTGACTTCTTGGTGTACTGTCTAGCAATCCAAAACTGGCATTGGTTAGTGTAAAACAAAAGAGACAGAAAAGTCAAAGTGACATAGGAGCGCGAAGCCTTCTTTTGGGAGCCACTCAATGGCCTGGGTCCTCCAGAAGTGGAGTGGCAGGCAGCTCTCCACGGTGTCCCTTGTATTTGCTCAGAAACAACCAAGGGCCTGGCTCTTCAAACTGGGGACTGTGGTTCTAACTTTCTCGTTTTGATTACTTAGATCTCCTCATTCCTCTGCGACTTTTCTGACTTTATCCAAGAAGAATATGAATTTGCCAAGTTTGTTTCAAGTTCCAGATGTTTTATCTAAGGTACTCAAAAATTTTTTAATGGAAATGAAAATTCATTCTAGAATGACATAGAATACGAATAGACGTCCCATCTTCTTAGTACGTTCCTGTGCTTGGTACACGATCAGTGTTCAATAAATATTTATTAAACAAAATGAATGGGGGCACCACCCCCCTCACTCTGTTTCAAGTGCCTTAGGGTCCCAGTTCACTAGAACTAAGAATACAGGCATAAGGTTAGAATCAACAAAACAGGAAACTAAAAGTTAGTATGGAGGAATCTACCCCAAGACTTTCAGAGACTGCCTGTCAGCGTATGACTGGAACCAATCTGGAGTCTCTAATGCCTCCCCCAGAGGCCTGCTTGTGCCTCCCACCCACAGCTCCCCACATCTGTGGAATTTTACATTAAAAACTCCTCATTTCCCCTCCACCATGACCGGCTGCTGAGTGACACTCAGTGAGTCACTGTGGACCAAGCACAGAGGCTACAGCGCTTGGGTAGTCAGGACCTCCCTGAGCTGGAGAAAGAAAAGATACGGTGAGATAAGCAGATTTTTCACCTGAAAAACTATGTATCCCTCACAGGGCTGTCACAGGCAGTGCCTGAAGCAGTGTCCTAAAGCACTTGACACGGGGCCCCACCCAGAGCAAGAGCTCAGGGAATGTGAGCCACAACTATTAGGAGCCCTGGTGTCCATCGATAAATGTTTACAGAGGCCTTTGCATTTGCTTTAATACATCAGAGATGAATCAGTCAGCCGCAGCCACGCACACGAATGAGCAGACATGAGGGGACTCAGAATGCGTCTCAGAGACAGGCCACAGCACTTGTGAGAGAAGGTGGGAGCAAAGGTCACCCCCAGGTTGGGCAAGCAGAGGGGGAGTGAGGGAATGGTTCAGGAGGAAGTGGTATCTGCAATGGCTCTAGAAGATACTGTTTTCAAGCGGAGGGAAGAGCCAGGGTGGAGGAAGAACTGGAAAGAGAAGAGAAGATGATCAGCAAAGAGGTGGAGACTGAGTGTACAGGAAATGCTTGAAGAACATCAAGGAATTATGAGCATACATGAAAGGAAAACAAGGACACGGCTGAGTCCAGCTAATGCACACGGGGCCCAACAGCCAAGAGCAGAGAGGACACATTCCAGGTTTCCAACACCGGAGTGTCACAGGCCAAGCTTTGCTTAGGAGTCATCTCTTGGTCCCTCTAACACCTTGGACAGGCAAGGAGGTAACTGGCAACCGTGATGTGCACTAGGTGGAGGTGGGAGGGAATGAGGGGGGAGGCAGGACTGGCTTAGCGACTGCTGCAGAGCCAGCAAGAAGCCTTCCAGTCATCCAGTCGCTGTGAACTTCCTCTTTAGACAGGTCTCACCTGCCGTTGAACGACTCCTCATCTCAGAGTTGTTCTGGATCTCTGTACTGTGGCAACTCAGGCACATAACACCAGGCCCCAACCTGGCTGAGATGGAGGACGGGGAAGGAAAGCCAATCAAAACCACCAGGGGCAGGGAGAGGCCATTCTCCAGCTGGGTGTAGCGGGTTTTGTGGCTGCAATATTCATAGTTAGCCACTAGATGGCAGTTAAGAGCAACAGCTTCCAGCTGAGTAGCCCAAAGGGTGCCTGACCCGCGAGAAGTACCAAATAGGTTGGTCCTCCCAGTAGAGAACAAAGGTCCCTCAACCTAAACCTCACCCTCATTCTCATCCTGTGTTGGGCTGACCCTCCACTGATTTGTACTTGAGAAAGAGTGACCCCTACAGATTGAAAGGCAAACTAGGGAACCCGGGATCCTTGCTCTGTTGAGGCAGCAGGCAGATACCTCCAGTCATATTCTTTCCTGTCACACAGACGTCCTCAAATTTGAATCTGGCTCCAAGAGTCTACTGCGTGTATGAAGGCCTGCAGGTATGAGCCATGAGGTCAACGTGGATTCAGCTGGCGGCTGCTCCCTTCTGGAAGGCAACTGTTGTGTTTCAAGGGAGTAGGATGTACCGTGGACACGATCTCTTCCTTCATCCTCTAAATCAGGGGCTTGCCAAGAAGCTGCTGGCAATCCGGAGGCTAACTGGAGGCCCTGGACCCTGTGCAGAGGTGCAAAAGTCCTGCCACCTGGCTACCTTCTTCTTCACCGTCACAGGTCAAAGGGCAGAACTTTCAACACCCGCTAACTCCTCCCTGCCCAGGAGCAGCCCCGTGGCAGAGGCGGGTGTACGTGTGCCTGAGCAGTATTTCCTAGTTAATAGATAAAGGGGAAACAGGCTCAGACACGATGACAGGGAGAGGGAAACAGACAGCAAGAGAGAGAAACACACACAGAGGTGAGGGACAAAAAACACAAAAGGAAAGGCAGGACTATCAAAGAAGAAAGACTTTCAGTGAAGAGCAAGAAAGGAAGCCTAAACATTTCCTCATTTAAACATTTACTGTGAGGAAACGTCTTCATTAGTCATTACTTTCACCTGCCATTTCCAGGCATCCACTCAGGACTCCTCAAGATACCGAGAAACAGAAAGGTGCATCATGCTAGCTGGGTAACTGGGCCAAGAGGCAACGCGACTGACTCAGTGATCCAGGGCAAGGGAACAGCAGATGTGTAGGTGACCTGGAAAACTGCAGCTGGAGACTCTGAAACCCCTTTGCCCACTTGCTGGTACTGGGTGGAGCTAGAGCTCCTCGTTACTAATAGATGATAAAATGCCACTCCACCCTCTCAGTTCCTGCCCCCACTCTCTCTCTCTGCTCACTTTGATCCACGTTTGTTGTTCCAGTCTAATGAGTCAGAGTGAAGACAAGAACATTATTTATTTTGCTTTTAGCTGACCTGAGGCAAAAAACCCTGGCTAAAAAGATTGTGCAGTAGCAGAGGCATAGCTGGGGAAGATGTATAGGATGTTGACTTCCTATTTTCTCACCACTAAAAACTCTCTTTTTATTATTTCTCTCTCAATGACTAAGTACATACAATTTTTAAAGATAATATTAAATGCTATTGGTCTAAAATAGTGATGTAATAAAAATCAAATTTAGTAAGTCTGAATGTAGGGACATGGCTATTATTTTGTGTATATTTTTGGTTTTTTTTTCCTAGTGAACATTAAGAGTGTTTTTGAAAGCATATTCAGCTTTATTTCTAAAATGGCTGGTGTTTTCAGAAAGAAGGAACATGTGTAATACCATAAGGCTTTTTGGGGTTATTGAAATCAGTTCTCTGACCACTACTTTTGGGATTCTATGTGGTAGAAATAATTCTGCCATTATATGGGTTCTAAGAATTTACTCTTCCCCTGAGGAAAGATAATCTGTTGTTGACCCTTTATCCAAAAATCTTCCAGCCAACTGAAGCTCAATACATGCAGTATTGGACAAACCTTTTAACCTTTCTGGACCACAGCTTTTTCTTTGGGTTAATTGAAAGATTTGAACCAGGTGTCCTATAAGGACTCTCTCAGTTAAGTTACAAGTGGGAAGGAGAAAAGAAATAGAGGTGTTGAAGGAAAGAAGGACAGAGGCAAATGTGTCAGTACACCACACAGAGTACTGTTTTAATCACCATCTGGTGCTCACATTTTCAGTTTTTATGTGAACAGGTGTGTAAAAGACAGAAAGAAAGGGAGTGAAAAATAGAATGAAGGAGGAGAGTGGAGGGAGAGCAAGATGGAGAGAAATATGTTTCTCTGTTTCTTTACCAAGGGTTCAAGGAGGCCACGGCCTTGGGCCATCAGCCAGCCCTTAGACACTGCAGCAGATATTGTCCTCAGGTATGAGGATGTTTCCAATTGTAAAATACGCTTTGGCTTCTGGGGACTGGCTGAAATCTGCATCTACCTTGGCCAGGCTCTCACTCGGTTGCTGTCACTCTGTTGTCACAACTGCCGCACACTATCCAGAGGACAGCTGCTTGGGAAGTGAGAGCCCCATTAACATTCCGGTGCCTCTGGTTCTAGACCTAATAAAACCAGGGCCTTGTGCTATGAACCTGGACAATTCCCTCTCCATTCCTGTTATTACTGCCAAGCTGGCCATAAGGAAACCAAGAGTGAGAAGGGAACGCTGCAGAAGAGAAAGACCCAAGACCTGGGTTTCAGGGCTGGGAAAGAAAGCAAGACGGAATGGAGGAAATGAGGCCTGCAGGACATGCAGTCCCAAATGTTTGCATCACCTTTGAAGTAGCCTATCACAGCTGCATTCCACGACTCTTCAATGCCCTCATCCCTTCTCCAGATGGAAATGGAGCAGCTCTTCCTGGAGGCCAGGCTTCAACTGATGGCGAGTCTGAGGTAGAGTATAGCACAGATCAAAGACTGCTTTTTACCTTTACATGTAAAGTGTAAAGGGACAGGATTAGAGTATCCGCCTTTGTCTTTTTGACCACAAAGACCATTATCAGCAGGGAAAGGGAGACCTAGAGAGTTTATATTATTGACAAAAGTCACCTGAGTTGTTCATGAGCCAGGACTGGAACAGAACTCTTTGGGCATCTATCCAGTGCTCTTCCCCAGCACATTACATGGAATGAATTTGTGTTACTACAACACTAATGTTCTGTAATATTTCCCTGAAGACAGAAGACAGTGCTATAATAGTGATCTTCGTGTATATATGTATTTTTTGTTTTAGGTAAATATATATACATACATATGTATGTATGTTGTATCTGTATTTAGACCTGATAATTTAAATTGCTTACAATGACTCAGTCATTCACCCAATGTTTGTTGAATACTTACTGTGTGCCAGGTTCTATCATAGGCTCTAGGAATACAAAGATGTATAAAACATGATTCTTGCTATTAAATATAATAACTCAGCCCATTGGAGGAAACAAACACATTTATAAACAAGAAGAATAGTGCAAATACAAAGAAAGCTAGATTGAGTTTATGATGCAATTAAAGAGGCAGACACCCAACTGAGGTGAGGAGGGCAAGAAATAGTAGGAGGCCCAGGAGAAAGGTTTTCTGAAGATTTAACACCTATACTATGTCTTAAATGAGTAGTTATTAAGGCCGGGTGGGACAATATATAAGCATTTCATCTTTCAGATTTTAAGAGATGACAGTCATCATGTTATGGGACTCTGTAGTCACAATTACAGTATTCATTAACCTAGCAAGATCTTGCAATAATATCTGTTGCTTGATTTGCAGTGAACTCTGAGATTCTGATTCCTGTAGGGTCTAGTAGTATTATTAGCAGAAACCAGAAGTTTGGAAAAAAGTGAAGGAAATACTTTTGGTGAAGAGTTTATAACTCTACTAAAAACAAACCTGCCCAAGGATTCTCCCATATCTACCTCCCTTGTCCAGGTCTTCTCATCCCTTCAGACTGAGTACAAATTCCATCAGAAATTTCCTGATTTCTCCAATCAGAAGTGGTCTCTCTGTTTTCTGGAGTCAAAGAGGTATCACTGTCTCTTGTATGATATCTAGTATGTCCTACCTTAATTGTAGTTTCAGAAATGTACTTCAGTCTCACACCTCAAAGATGTGAGGGATGGATGGAGGAGCTGGAGCTTCAGGGGATACCATCCCAGGGGTATCAAGAAGACATGGTAGAAAGTTGAATTAGCCCAAAGCAGAGGAGTCAATACACACAGACACTTCCTCTCTAGTCTCTCTTCTCATTCCATCCATCCTCCCACCAGACAACCTGTCCATTTTAACCTATATTCACTTAGCTGAAGCTGATTTGCTAGGTTCTTCTTTCAGGTTGTTGCATAGTGTTTCCTGGGCTTGGAACACCCTCCCCTATCTTTGTTCACTCCACAAATACCTACCAGACCCTTCCCAGACCCTTCCCTCTCTGCCCCACCCCCAGTTGAGCTCAATGATCCCTTTCAGCTTCATTGGGACCTTGATATATTTCTGTTGTAGCACCTTCAACACCATCATACTTCTTGATGTATAGGCTGCTGGATGGTGAGCAGCTTGAGGTCACAAACTATATCTTATTTATTTCAGTGTCTCCAGTACCTAATGAATGGGTAAATGAATGGATTTGTATTCTTTTGTCTTCCTTAGAAACTTCCTTCCAGAAACTTTGCCTTATTCATCTGGATGTCACAGCACCCTTTACTTGGTAGCCTCACAATAGACGTTTGTTGTTGAATGAATGAATCTAGTTATTCACACACATACTTGGACATACCAACCCACAACTTTGTAACACTGAGTTGATTCTTTTTAGAGCGCCCTATAAAAATGAAGTGTATTTTAAATATTTGTTATAAGAATCCAACTTTGTTCCTGGTTTTTAGCCCTCAAACCCCACTGATGCCTCACCTAAGTGCCATACACATGTCCCTCACAGGATGAAGCTACTTGCAGAACAATCTGGCAAAGGCCATCCTAGGAGCACACCTCAGAACTCCTCACTTTCTGTTCCTCCTCTTTCTGTTCCCCATGCCTCCCAGGGCAACAGGAATGGGTCAAGGCGCACTGTGTAGTGGTGGGCCAGCAAGCAGATCAAATGAAAGAGAAGACTTCAGTCAAATAGTCTTCTCACTGTGGTTTTCCTCTCCTCCATATTCTGCACCTTGTGAGCCGTATCTCATGACTGATGTCAGTGTGAATGAGGAAGGTTAAGAGAGAATCCCCGGCTGGGCGTGGCTCAAGCCTGTAAATCCAGCACTTTGGGAGGCCGAGGCGGGTGGATCACGAGGTCAAGAGATCGAGACCATCCTGGTCAACATGGTGAAACCCTGTCTCTACTAAAAATTAGCTGGGCATGGTGGCATGTGCCTGTAATCCCAGCTACTCAGGAGGCTGAGGCAGGAGAATTGCCTGAATCCAGGAGGCGGAGGTTGTGGTGAGCCGAGATTGCACCATTGCACTCCAGCCTGGGTAACAAGAATGAAACTCAGTCTCAAAAAAAAAAAAAAAAAGGCAGGAATCCCCAAACATAATTTTAGCCTCACGTTCCCATTTGCTTCTTAAACCTTTATCAGAGATGCAAATGAGAACCTCCTGAATGAGGTATAAATGCCCAAAGTCCTCTCTTTAACCCTTTTGCAGAAATAAGAACAAAAAGCAGTAATTACAGTGAGCAGACGGGGTGCCCCTGCCCTTCTTCCACTGGTTGTTTCTTAACCTGCTGAGACAGCCTCTCTTTCCCAGAGGACTGAGGGGCTCAGGACCCACACAGAAGCTTGAGTTCTGTTTGTGGCTTCATTCATTGTGCTCAGGAAGTACAGAAGGGCCAAATGGTGCTGGACCATGGATGCATGAGAGCTGATGCTGGCCCAGAGTTAAGGCATGAGAAAGGAGGGCGATGCTTGGGAAAGGCCCGTGAAAAAGGTTTGCGGAAGAGAAGTCTTCTCTTCATTCTTTCTCAGGCCATCAGAGATCCTCAGTCTATATGGCGGAGCCTTTGTTGAAATGGAAAAAGTGGGCCATCTATACGAGAATGCAGCCCCTCAGACATGGGTGCTCAGGCTGGAAAGCAGAGACCCCACTGAATGTCAGGCCCCAGCCATCTCTGCCAGCTGTCTTTATATATGTACCACTGTATGCAGCAGCCTCGAGACCACCGTTTAGCCTGTGTCTCACTCCCTCCTGCCTAAACTCTCAGAACCTACCAACAGCAGCACACTCCAGATTCAACATCCATCCTGGATGGGCTGAGACCAGGGTGCCCATCTCTGTTTTATGGAAAGAAAAACTGTTACCTCTCTCCCTCCACTGCTTTCCTACGTCTTTGCTGCCCTGCGTGCTCCACCATTTTCTCACCTTCCTCTGTCTCTCTTTTCCCACAGGCCAAGAGGAACAAGAGTGACTCCATGCTGCTGCTCAGAAACCAGCAGCTGTGCTCCACATGTCGAGAAATGAAAATGGTAGGCAAGGGGGAAGACAGAGATGGGCACGGGCATCTCAGGGTACAGCACTTCCTTTCCACGCCAAGCCCTGTGGAGAGAGATAGTGATGGGGCCCATTGCAAGGAAGGCCTAGATAAAAGCTGCCAAGGAGGAACTGTTGGTCCTGAGAGCAGCACCAACTGACAGAACATGATAAGCCTTCTCCATTTCAACAAGCCAACAGGGAACCAACATAGGTGGGCCACTGCAGCGGTGCAATGAGCCACTTTGCCTTGGACTCCTAAGTAACTACAGCCTCTCAGAAGCTCAGGGGGCTATGGAGCTTCTTCTCTCTCCTTAATGTAGCCCCCACACAACACATATGCACACACCCATCTCTCCATCATTACAATCAGGAGACATACAGCTTCATGTTTGGATGTACTGTTAATTTAGGCAGCATCTCAAGAGAAAGACTGGGGAGAGAGTCTACGGTACTTTCTAGGTAGTCAGGGGTGGTGTCACCTGCCTTGGATACCTGTAACATGTAGTGCAGAATGGTGGGAGGGGAGAAGTATTAGGAAAATAAAGGGGAGCAAGGAAGATGTGGAGGGAACAAAGACAAACTTCTGCCATCTGTCAGAGTTGCTGAATCAGAGCCTGATTCAGAAAGGATGCTAGACTAGGCTGGAGTTAAGCCTTGGGTTAATTTGAGAATTCGAGTTAGTGTTGGGATGGTTGCTAGTGTCAGGGTAAGGAAGAGGCTTGGGTTAAGGGTTAATTTAGCAACATGGTCAGGTTTGAAGGGCTGGGGGAGCGTTTCTTCAACTCTGATATCCTATAATTCTCCTTCGACTTGGGGAGGAAGGTGGGGTAAATGTGCAGGCTAAATGTGCTTAAAACAAAGGGCAAAGAGTAGAAGAAAAAATAGAAGCTGTAAGAGAGGCTCCTCCACTGAGTTCATGGCAAAAGTCTTCAGGCTAGTCGGATGTGAAAGAGTGGCAGTTTTTTGTGAAATTTTTATGTGGGATTTAGAAATTTAACTGAAGCTACTGGCAAAGCTGCACCTGGATGTTGCCGTTTATGTTCATTTTCCACACAACTGTGGTCACTGGGTTAAATATTAGCATTGGCTGGAGTCTGGAAAACTACGAATGGGATTTCTCCTGGTCTTATTCCTGGAAGCTCTTGTGTCCACATTTAGAATGCACCAATCCCGGGCCTAAGCTGGTCTTGGCCAGCTGGCACACTTGGGATGTCAGCAGCAGTCCTCTTTCTCAAGATCTTTTCTCTGACCTTTGCCCTTTTCCAGGAATGATAGAAATGGAGCCACATGCTGTAATCTTACCATTTATTGCCGCTTCTAAAAGGAAGGGCTTCAAGCATAAAATTGCCCAGGGACCCTTCTCGACTGCTGTCAGAATCTGGTGGGAAACTATGGAAAGTTAGAAAATAAACATGAAATACCCTTGCCTCACTATATGCAGTAGCACCTCAGAGTCCTCCCAAGGGGATGGATTGCAGGTCTGCTGTAATCACTGTGACACCCCTTCTTTCTCAGCAGTGAGTTGAATTGAAATACTGGGGAAGATATAAAAAGACTCCTAGGAATAGAAGGGAACTTCCTCAGCCTAATAAACAGCAGTTTGAAAAACCAACAGCTAACATCCTACTTAATGGTAAAAAACTGGATACTTTCCCCTAAGACTAGGAACAAGGAAACAATGTATGCTCTTGACACTTCTACTCAACATTTTACTATACACTCTAGCCAGAAAAATTAAAATAAGAAAAAGAAATAAAGACATCTGCATTAGAAAGGAAGAAGTACAATTAGTCTATTTGCAGATGACATGATCTTGTACAGAGAAAGTCCTGAGGAATGCACAGAACTCTATTATCGCTAATAGATGAGTACAGCAGTGTGGAGGATACAAGATCAATATAATTAGCTTCTATTACTAGCAATGAACAAAATGAAGAAAACAATGCCATTTGCAATAGCATCAAAGATTATTTAGGTATAAATTTAACAAGACACATAAATGCTATACAATGAAAAGTATAAAACATTGTAGACAGAAAATTTAAAAGACCTAAATACATGGAAAGAACCCCATGTTTATGGATTGGAACACTTAATATTGTAAAGATGGCTATACCCCCAAAGTGGTCTACATATTTAGTGTAATCCTCAAAATCCCAGATGCCATTTTTATAGAAATTTACAGTATCTTAAAATTTATATTAAAATGCAAGAGATCCAGGATAGCCAAACAATCTTAAAAAAGAACAAAGACAGAGGCCACACACTTCTTGATTTTAAAACTAACTACAAACATGTGGTCAGGACTGTGTGGTACTGCCATAAAGATAAACAAATAGATCAATGGAATAAAACTGAGAGTCCAGAAGTAAATTCTTACATTTATAAACAATTGATTTTTGACAAAGGTACCAAGACAGTTCAATGGGGAAAGAATAGTCTTTTCAATAAGTCGTACCGGGGCAGCTGTATAGATACACATAAAAGAACAAATTTGTACCTCTTCCTCACACTATGTACAAAAATAACTCAAAATAGGTCAAAGACCTAAATGTAAGACCTAAAACCATAAAGCTTTTAGAAGAAAACATGAGTATAAAGCTTCATGACCTTGGATAAGGCAATGTTTTCTAAGATAGGACACGCAAAACAAAAGAATATAGATAAATCAGTCTTCATCAAAATTTTAAACTTTTGCGCCACAAAGAACAACATCAAGAACATGAAAAGACAACCAAAATATTTGCAAATCGTCAGATAAGGGCTTATATCAGATAAGAGACTAGTATCTGGAATATGTAAAGAACACTTACAACTCAACAATAAAAGGCAAACACCCTAGTTGAAAAGTGAGAAAAAAGTTTCAATAGACATTCTCCAAAGAAGATCTACAGATGACCAACAAACACATAAAAAGATGCTCACTTTATTTGTTACTAAGCAAATGCAAATCAAAACCACGATGAGATACACTTTCCATCCACTAGAATGGCTGTTATTAAAAAAAGAAAAAAAAAGACAGTGGATAATAGCAAGTGTTGGCCAGGATATGGAGAAATTAGAACCCTCATCCATTGCTGAGGGAAATGTGAAACAGTACAGCTGCTTTGAAAAACAGTTTGGGAATTCCTCAAAAACTTAGACACAGAGTTACTACATGACCCAGCAATTCTATTCCTAGATATGTACCCCAGAGAGTTAAAAACATTTTCACACACAAACTTCTATAAGAATGTGCATAGCAGCCACATCACAATAGCTGAAAAGTAAAAATAACCCAAATGTCTATAACTTGATTAGTGGAAAAACAAAATGTGGTCTATCTATATAATAGAATATTAATCATAAAACAGAATGAAGCACTGAAAGATGCTATAACATGGATGAACCTTGAAAATATTTTGCTAAGTAAAAGAAATCAGATGCAAAAGATCACATATTTTATTGGTTACATTTATATAAAATGTCCAGAATAGGAAAATTCATAGAGACAGAAAACAGACAGTGTTTGCCAAAGACTGGGGGGAGGAGTGAGTAAAGAGTACTTGCTAATAGTTATGTGGTTTCTTTTTGGGGTCATGAAATGTTCTAGAAGTAAATAATGGTGATTGTTTTACAACTTTCTGAATATACTATAAACAACTAAATTGTACATTAAGATGGTGACTTATGATACATGATATCATAAACACTAATAAAAAGAAATTAGCAGCTGGCACGGTGGCTCATGCCTATAGTCCGAGCACTTTGGGAGGCTGATGTAGGAGGATCAACTGAGGTCAGGAGTTCAAGAACAGCCTGGCGAATATGGTGAAAACGCATCTCTACTAAAAGTACAAAAATTAGCCAGGCATGCTGGTGTGCACCTATAATCCCAGCTACTCACAAGACTGAGGCAGGAGAATTGCTTCAACCCAGGAAGTGGAGGTTGCAGTGGGCCAAGATGGTGCCACTTCACTCCAGCCTAGGTGACAGAGCGAGACTCCATCTCAAAAAAAAATTAAATTAAAAAATTTAAAATAAAAAAGAATTTAGCACTAGATAAATAAAAGCACAAAATGGATGAATCTCAAAAAACATAAACAGGACCTGGTTATGTAATTACTCATATTCCTATGTAACCTTGGGCCAGAAGCTCAACCATTTAGTGCAGAAGAAATACCTACTGACAGTTATGGTTGTGAATCACCAGGGATATTTGCCTTGGTTTCATCTAGGCTGTGTTTTGTCACGTCTGCTCCAAACAGCTCATCTTCCCCTTAATGCACCTATTTTGTAGTCCTGTTATCTGCATTGCTCTCTAATTAACACTTTCAAGCCCCTTAAAAGTAGGACTGTCAAGCTAGACACACTGTAAACAGACATTCTCTCACATATATAAAAATTGTTTTAAGATAAATTAAGTTTATTTCAACAAATATTTATTGATTGTCTGCCATGGCCCAAGTACTTAGGTAAGCTACAAAGAAAAAAAGAAAGAAAGAAGACATGAGTCCTGCCTTTAAGGAGTCAACAAATAATAAGTAAATAATGACAACAGAATGTAATCAATAGAAATAGATCTGATGGGGAGTGAATAAGTAAATAATGACAACAGAATGTAATCAATAGAAATAGATCTGATGGGGAGTGAAGGGGCAGCGCAAGTACATATCAAGAAAGTCTTCCTTGAAAAAAAAGACTATTCAGGGTTTTCAAGAATGAATAGGAGTCCACCACAGTATACTTTTTCTCACAAATGAAAGTGCTGTCTTTGCCAGGCAGCTTTGTTCTGATGGAACCCCTGTAGTGCAGGTCATTCATGTAAGAGCACTAGCTGGATTTAGGGGATTTAGAAAGGGAATCATGCTATTTGGGAGGAGGTAGAGTTTCCTGCATCTTTTGTTGGAGCAGAGTCAACTTTAGGTAAATTTTTGAATAAAGCAGTCTGTCTCTGGCACATTCTCATCCCCTTTTATGTTTAGAAATCTCTCCTCAGACTCGCACCAAAGCCTTGGCTGCCCCCACTATGCCCAGAAGTTTCTTGTTACCAGGTCATTTCCTTCTTCTCCCTCTTTCATCCTTTCTTCACCTAATGAGTTCGGAGAACAAGCTGATTAAACATAGTACATTTTTGGCATTTATATAGCCTTTGTGTTCAGTTTTTTGCTATTTTCAAGCACCTCTAAAGGTCCTTGATTCATCATAATTTGTAACTTTGTTATGACATAAACTTAAATCATGAGTCACCTGGTACAAGTCACTTAAAGTAGCTGAACACCTGCACCTACATCTTTGTGATTATCATTTTATTATTATAGCTACAATACTTTTTGAGAAATAATGGAAAAATGCTTCCTAGTGAAAACATTCTTAAAAGAAAAACAACATCTAGTTCTAGGAACAAATTTGGAAAAATTCAAGAAAGTGATGTTTCTTAACAAAAAAATACTGTAACTGTACATTGATTTTAGGTCTGTATAAAGGACACCTTTAAAATTTCAAGTGTGCTTCAAGGTGGGTTCATTCATTCACTACTTTGATCAAAAATATTTCTTGGACATCATGTTAGCAGCTGGAAATACAAAAACAGAGACAAGGTCTATGCCCTCATGAAGCTGAAAGTCTATTAGGGATCCCAGACATTATGCAAGTAAATGCAATATAAAGGCTATGAGTATTTTGATACAGGAGGCCCTAAGAACATAGCACCGAGAACTACCAAACAGTACTCCAGGAGTCAGTAGTCTCTGTGAGAAAGTGATAGTCAACCTGAGACCTGGAGAATGTGTGTGGTAGGAGTGGGGGCATCTAAACGAACAGATTTTAAACATTTACTAAATCTGGGTCTCTAATTTCAACTGATACACAGGGAAGAACAAAGACTCTGACTTGCGGGAAGGGTGAAACCCTCTGGTTCATTCATATCACAAAAGGACGTATGAATGGCTTTGACATCAAATACAACTCAAGTTTGCTAAAGTGGTACTTTATTTATTTAAATAAGAATGCAATTATAGGCAATGTTCTGAATGAGACCTTCTTCTTGAGGTACAACCAAGAACAATGAAAATCCTAGATGATCCAAAAGTATCCTTTGAGAATTTTATGAGTCATAGGTAAGTCAACAATTTAAATCAGGACATGACTTTAATTCTGGTTATATCGGTTTGAGGACACGGGAGTGGGTTGAGAAGCATCGTAAGAGGAATGTTTAAGGATTGCTTAGGGAACAGACTTCTTGACTGGTTTTATTTCCCGGTTAAACCAAATCATTCGATCAAAAAAGAAAGTTCACCTTTTTGTTTGAAAAACTACTGAAACTACTGCAGAAAGTATAATCTTCCTTTCCACCTTCACAAGAACAATATAATAAATATGATAGGACATTTCTTTGATAATTCAGGTGGAACTAAATACAAATTGACCACATAGATGACATATCTAATTTGCAAGATATGGGAGATAACACATAATCTTTCCTTAGTCTGAGATATTCTCTGCTACGTTCTATTAACTAAAATTCCTCTTAACATTTTGTTTGCTTGTTATTAAAAGCCTTTTTAAAAATCAAGCTCGAGTATAACAGATAGAAAATCCAATCGGAATTCCGATTAGTTGTTGTTGAGAAGGAGTCTGTCTCTCTTTGTCACCCAGGCTAGAGTGCAGTGGTGCAACCTTGGCTCACTGCAATCTTTGCCTCCCAGGTTTAAGCAATTCTCCTGTCTCAACCTCCCAAGTAGCTGGGATTACAGGTGCCCACTATCACGCCTGGCTAATTTTTTTTTTTTCTTAGTAGAGATGGGGATTAACCATTTTGGCCAGGCTGGTCTCAAATTCCTGAACCTCTGGTGATCCTCTTGCTTTGGCCTCCCAAAGTACTGTGATTACAGGTGTGAGCCACCATGCCCTGCCTGGTTTTTCAAAGATTTTTTTTCTGCTATATTTTAACTATCAGGCAGGGGAGAAGAACTCTGTTTTTACTTTATTAAAACATGCAAAACAGGCCAGGCACGGTGGCTCATGCCTATAATCCCAGCACTTTGGGAGGCCAAGGGAGGTATATCACCTGAGGTTAGGAGTTCAAGACCAGCCTGGCCAATATGGTGAAACCCCATCTCTAGTAAAAATACAAAAATTAGCTGGGCATGGTGGCAGGCCCCTGTAATTCCAGCTACTTGGGAGGCTGAGGCAGGAGAATCACTTGAACCCAGGAGGTGGAGGTTGCAGTGAGCTGAGATTATGCCATCGCACTCCAGGGAGGAGTGAAACTCTGTCTCAAAAAAAAAAATTGCAAAATATGGACTCATTCTGAATAAGACATCAATACAGGTCAACTTGCATTGCAATAGACGGTTGGAAAGTAGACACACACTCACCCTTACATGTGACTAGCCAAAAAAGCTATACGTAATCTAATGGCAATTTTAATTTTTTTTCCTGATACAGAGAGCAATAATGTGGAAAAATAAATAGGTTTTTTTGGTAACCTTATGTTGAACAGTGATACATATTCTGATTCCTTTTATGACCTTATGGCCCTTTGTTCCAGATACACTGAAAACATGTACCCAGTTCCCGGGCCATGGTAGCAGACAAGGTTATGAAGGAAGTGGCTATTTGAGCAGTACAAGCTCCATCACTAATAACGTTGACCTATACTGATGCTATACTTTTAAACAGTGCTTATATGGTTAAAGTAATTCTAATAAATATTCATTATGAACTTTAAATGTAAAAATGGAACCATCTAAAATCAGAGATTTCTGAGCAAAAGTTCACTCTTCTGCGAAATAACCTTTTGAAATTTGTTGCCCCATTTTACTTAACTTGCAAGTTTTGTACTTTATTTAAAGTGCAAAATCCCAGAACATAGTTATATTCTAAACAAATCACTCTTATCCCTTTAAAACTAAGACCAAGTATTGAGCCAGTCCTAAAATCATGTCAATATCAACCAGACATATCATGAGATTGATTGTTGCATTCTTTTCTTCAGTGTTATGAAGGAAAACATGCCACTTCTGTTTGAGCTGAAGTGGCTATAAAGCAAGGACCTGGTTCTATCTGTAGCTTTTAAAATCTGTTTTCATACTTTTTAAGTATCATTGCATATGTAGGCAACTAGAATTATCTTCACTGAAATTATGGTTTTTTAAAAAAGCGACTTTGCAGCCATTGCAGGAATTAAAATATAATACTTATTGAATTAAAAGAATGAAGGAAAAAAGGAAGAGAGGGAGAAAAGATGGCAGGATAGATACATAATTGTTGAATTGTAGAATAGATAGATCTTGGCCAGGCACAGTGGCTCATGCCTGTAATCCCAGCACTTTGGGAGGCCGAGGTGGGCAGATCACCTGAGGTTGGGAGTTCGAGACCAGCCTGACCAACATGGAGAAATCCTGTCTCTACTAAAAATACAAAATTAGCCGGGCATGGTGGCGGGCACCTGTAATCCCAGCTACTCAGGAAGCTGAGGCAGGAGAATCGCTTGAACCCAAGAGGTAGAGGTGCAGTGAGCCAAGATCGTCCTATTGCCCTCCAGCCTGGGCAACAAGAGCAAAAATGGGTTTTTTTTTTTTCAAAAAAATACTGACTGAACTCGCTATATTTTTGGTAGCAAAGCAAGAATAATCATGGAAGATCTTTGTGGAAGTAGAAACCATGAAATGAATGTAGAGCCTTAGATAGCCCATTAAAGTTTACAGATGTGTCAGTCCTTAGAAATTAAGCTAATGTAGAAGTGGTTTTGGCTTATATATACTTTGCTCAAGGGCCACCTCCACAGCTTTGGCCACCAGGAGAAACAGGATATGGTCAGATAATTTTCTCTGAAATGGAAAGGTTCTAACTGAAATCTTTTTTTGGCTTTACTGTTTAAGGGTAGATTATTGATCTGTAAGAGTTGTTGTATTTTTCTGGAAGTTAGAGGACTCTTTCCTTTATTCCTTCTATTTTCAGACCACATATGTTCTGACCATAGAATAAAACATTCAAAATGAAGGTTTTGTCAAAATCCAAGAAAACAACACTAAGCAAAACGTTGAAAATGAGTAGTCGTTGGACTAATTGTCTCACACTACTAGAAAGTGGCCTGATGACCAGGTTAACAGAGCCTGGATTCAAGAAATCATGTGTGTTTAAAAATGTATAAAGAGACCTGGTACGGTGGCTCACACCTGTAATCCCAGCACTGTGGGAGGCTGAGGCGAGCAGGTTGTCCCAAGTCAGGAGTTTTAGACCAGCCTGGCCAACATGGTGAAACCTCATCTCTACTGACAATACAAAAATTAGCCAGGTGTGGTGGTATGTGCCTCAAATCCCAGCTACTCGGGAGGCTGAGGCAGGAGAATCACTTGAACCCAGGAGGCAGAGGTTGCAGAGAGCTGAGGTCACACCACTGCACTCCAGCCTGGGCAATAAGAGCAAAAACTCCATCTCGTAAATAAATAAATAAATGTGTAAAGACACATTTCTTCCTCCAAGTCGTAGCCAATTAACTAATGTGTTTTCATGTTTCTTCTAATCAGAATGATGAGTCTTCATCAGCCCAAAGTCCAGACTACACCTGAGCCTTTCCATGATGACATCCCAACAGGTTTGCTTTCCTTTAGAGTACTTTTAGTGTGAAACATACTATGAAAAAACTGCTATAGAATGAAAGTCTAATCCCTAAAATAAGTACTAAATTTCCTGAGCAAATTCTCACTCTCTATCCCTTTCTCTTTCACATATTATCTTTTGACCTGCTGGGACTGGTTCACAGCCCTTCCACTCCAGCCCCACCTGTGGCCTCCTCAGGCCTCACTTGTCCTTATCCATGTCATGTTCCTTCCAGGCTCTGTCCACAGCACATGGCTGAAGACTTTCCACGGAGATGGAGTACAAATGAAATCAAAGTTCCCCAAAGTCCTGATGGTGCCAATCAAACTGGGAAGGGAACTGCATCTCTACACCCTCAGAGTGGCCTCACCAAGGCCCTGAACCTTTCACTCACCAGATCCCTAAAATACCTGCCTTCTCCCAGCAGCTGCCAGTGCTATTCTTATCTTCACTTGCTGTTGATAGAAACAAGGGAAGCAGCTCTATTTCAGGTTTCAGCATAGACCTAAGTCTCAGCCTTTAGTTAATACAATACTGGGCTGGTGAAGGTAGAATGAGCCATTACTGGGGGCAATATAATTCAAGGGCTTACTGCAGCACAGGCTGTCACTTTAGTGACCTTGTCCATCTTCTCATTTGCTCCCATATTAATTGAAGACGCTTGAATTTTTTTTTCATTTGATATATACAGTAAAGAAAATCAGAACCACTTTCCTCACTCTATACATATGGAAAAGTCTAAGCTTTATCCTAGGAGGTTGCTGGGGGACTAGGGCCAGAACCGAAAAGACACGTAGAAAGGAAATTTGAGGATTGAAGGGATGTCTTGAGGGGATGCCAAAAGAGAGGACCAGAAACTCAGATAACAGCTGAGGTTTGGGGATAGCCACTCTAGTGGAGTGAAACTCTTCCAGTCCTAATGAATTGCTTTTTATGTATCCAAAAATATTAGCCTGGTTTATGGATCTCACTTAGCCAAAGTGGAACCAAGAGCCTGGAGCTAAGAGTACCCACCCAATAAAAGCTGCCCATTCTGCTGTTCCCTGGTCTATGACAACCTCATTCTTTTGAAGCCAAGAGAACAAGGGTGATAAGCACATACAATTGATTTCATAGTTATCGGTGCCAGCTACACCCTCATTCTCAGTTTCCTTTGGACATGGGTTTTTTCAGACCTGCCTTGCAAAGGATTGAATCACACACACACACACACACACACACACAGACACACACACAGACACACACACAGACACACACACACAGAGACACACACACACACACCATTGTCTGCCTTTCCCTCAGCAAAAATATATTTTGTGATCCTAGAGAACAATGTAATAATATGCCTTTCATCAATTGATTATCTGTGGGGTGTACTTCAATTAGCAATTAAAGAGCTAGATTTTGCATATATAGGAACAGCATGTTATGTTTTTGGATGACCCTGGTTCTTGTCCATAGAGTTCATCCTAGGACAGTAATCTCAGAGGTGGGACTATAGGGAGAGTAGTTGTAAAACTGGCTAGGAGCTGAAACTTGGTAGATCTACTGTTTATTATAGTCGTGACCCTTCTGAGCTGACTTCACTCTTGTATGTGCTCATTGAGGTCATGAAAAAAGAACTAGCGTAGAAGTGATGAGACCTGGGTAGGAATCCTAGTCTTGCTGTATAGGCTTGGCCTCTGTTCCCACCTGTAAAACCAGAGTAACATTTTGTCCCACTGAAAGCTAGACCTTCAGCACAAGTGGCCATCGCCTTTGACTGACCCGGGAAAACTGCTGACACTGCCTTAGCCCCCCTGATTTATACAGCTTAGACATGTCCATACTGTGGCACTTGCTACTTATTGCTGAAGCCGCCCACCACCTGTGCTGTGTTCCCTGTGGATTGCTACAAATACTAAGTGGCTGACTCATCCCAGTGAACAACATTACCGCCAATGATTGTCTAACTCATCTGCTGGTCACAGCAATGATTGCTAGCACTTTTTCTGGATTCTGCTTATCCTTCCATATTATCAATAATTCTTGATGACAACTAAGAAAATAGAAAGAAATTATCTTTACGTGATGGGGATTCCTTCTGAGTTCATGAATCTTTGGCCCGATCCCAGAATCCCATGACACCCATGGGCTCTTAATCTCAATAAACATTAGTACAGATGCTAACCACCTAATGTGGGCCTACCACCTGGCCACACAGTGGTATGATACAACACAAAGAGCACTCACTAGGTTAGGATTAAGGATATCTGAGTTCTGGTTCTTAGTCCATTAGTGCCTGTGACCTTGGACTGCTGTTTCATCTTCATTACAGTGATGGGACTGAACTGGATCCAAAGTTTGTGATCATGTAACGTCTCTACCCCTCATTCAGTTGGACCTTGTTCTCTGGAGCTTTTTCCAGAGAATTAAGAGTTCTAATTCTCTTAGTCACTCGGTGATTCCCAACGGGAAGCTGTTATTTCACGCACTGATTTACCCCACTTCAAGTAATCTGTCTTCTGGAAAAAGTGAATATTAATCAACTTCTAATAAATCATATTTGAAGAAGAGGTAGGGTCAAGATTTTAAAGAACTCTAAAATAAATTATTTCACAAAATACAGATTTCTTTTGAAATGCAAGTACTTTCTCTTCTCACTGTAGCCTTTTTGTAAGATCGTGTTTCTTATTTTTATTTTTTTAAAGAACAGAACTATATATGTGTCCTTGAAAAGTCTCCTGAGAATTGAATCCTCTTTTCTCTTTAACTCATATGATAACACCAGACATGTTTTATCTTCATTTTTCATTTAATTGGTAATGATGTCTAATACTTGAGTTTTGTTTCTGGATACTCCTTTTGGTCTCATTGACAAGATTTGTTTAAAAATGTTGTGGAGGAAAAGACAATTTTATTAAAAGAAATTCTTAGGTGAATTTTTTTGTTGCATTTTCTTTTTTTAAGAAAAAATAAAAGGTGGATTTGAAAAACAAATTATTAGGTGAATTTTGAATCTGTTTTATAAGGTTGAAGAAGTCTTTGTTGGCCTGTGGTTATTTTGCATTTCTTTAAGAATAGAATCTAAATAGTCCTTGTCCTTCCTTCCTTCTTGTATGTCATCCAGAGAGCATTCACTACAGACTGCCCATTCTGGGCCCCAGGACAGCTGTCTTCCACGGATTACTGTCAGAAGTCTACAAAATTCTGCAGGAGAGACGACGTTCTTCCTTGTCAGAAACCAGTGGGCAAGACCATGAAGCAGTGAGCGGTATGAGTTCATCATCTTTGACCCCAGCACCTTCTCCTCACAATTTTCTCTCCTCTCCAAAAAGATGATTTCATTTTGGCTTCCTAAGAGTTGCTGGTATTCTGGCCCTCACCTCTATTTTCTCTCTCGCTTCTCCTAAAGACAAGCTGGTTTAATTTACATGATTTTAAAGACTCGTTGATGAAAATGGAACATGGTAACTGTCTTGTTTAATTTTGTTAAGGGTTCCTCTCTACGTTAAAGCAGAAAACATCCTTCTATTTCTAAGTTGCAAGTTTTCTGTGAAAACTGTTTTCAGCTGTTTCTTCAGGATGGGCCAGAGATGGCTCCAAGAAATCCCTCATGAATTCAGCTTATTAAGAATAAAGGAGTGGGCTGGGTGTGGTAGTTCATACCTGTAATCCCAGCACTTTGGGAGGCCAAGGCGGGCAGATCACTTGAAGTCAAGAGTTCAAGACCAGCCTGGCCAACGTGGTGAAAACTTGTCTCTACTAAAAATACAAAAATTAGCCAGGCATGGTAGTGGGTACCTGTAATACCAGCTACTCGGGAGGCTGAGGCAGGAGAATCACTTGGACCCAGAAGGCAGAGGTTGCAGTGAGCAAGATCACACAACTGCACTCCAGCCTGGGCAACAGAGTGAGACTCCATCTCAAAAACAACAACAGAAAAACAACAACAACAACAACAACAAAAAGAATAAAGATGTGGGGCTGGGCACAGTGGCTCAACCCAGTAGTCACAGTACTTTGGGAGGCTAAGGCAGGAGGATCACTTGAGGCCAAGAGTTCAAGACCAGCCTGGGCAACAAAGGGAGACCCTCATGCCTACAAAAATAAATAGTAAAACATAAAAAGTATAAATGAGAAAAAGAGAAGTCACCCTCTGGCTTTATCTCTGTTGGTTAACTCTGGTAGATGACAGAGGATGCTGTGATGCAATGACTGGAAAATGGCAAGGCATTTGTTGTTACAACCCCGGAGCACAGGAACTTTGCTTTGCCTTGCTCTCCTCACATCACCTCCTTTCATGGTATTAAAAGTTCAGCTAATCTTTGCTCAGTGAAAACCATACCAAGGGCATGTATTATGTAGTTTGGTTACTTTGGTTGGAAGATGTATGCCTCTGGATTTGTCCCAGACTATGTGTACATCTGCAATGTGAGGGAGACAAAAGAAAACCCTAGGCTGACAAATACTATATTTGTGGGCACATATGTTTCATGTTCAGCTTCGGGGGGTGTTATATATAAAAAGAACATCTCTGTTCTTTTTTTTTTTGAGACGGAGTTTCGCTGTTACCCAGGCTGGAGTGCAATGGCAAGATCTCGGCTCACCGCAACCTCCGCCTCCTGGGTTCAGGCAATTCTCCTGCCTCAGCCTCCTGAGTAGCTGGGATTACAGGCATGCACCACCATGCCCAGCTAATCTTTTTGTATTTTTAGTAGAGACGGGGTTTCACCATGTTGACCAGGATGGTCTCAATCTCTTGACCTCGTGATCCACCCTCCTCGGCCTCCCAAAGTGCTGGGATTACAGGCGTGAGCCACCGCGCCCGGCAACATCTCTGTTCTTTAGGAAGCAATGGTCTTGTCATATCTCAAAATCTTGACTAAATGAAAACTGGATCAATATGTGAGAACCAACCTGTGCCTGACTGTATTTGAAGGATCATCAGACTTTGAAAACCTGCTGTTGACTTTTTCTAATACCTCTCTCAAGTGACTAGATTAATCAGATAAGTGAGTAAAAACATCCTGACATCTCTTTCCTAGAGGGCTGGAGACACAAGGGTACATCATATAGACTGGGGACCCCTGGGAGTCTCTGAAGCCCTTCCAGAGTGTCTGTGACTTTATTTGAAGAGTCAACTTCAAAAATCTCAAACAAATGGCCTTATCCCTAAGTTGGCCTCACTTCTTGCACACACACACACACACACACACACACACACACACACACACAAATAGACAAACAAATACAGAAAAACTTGCTCGATTATCCTGAATTACTGGTAGGCTACGATTCTTGGTTTCAGTTCAGTTGGAGTTTAAGAACTCCAAAAACAGTGCCCTTGAATTTTGACCCCATTTCAGATATTGTCAAAGGAAAGACACATCACAGGTAACAGGTTTCCTTCTTTTGTTGCTGCTGCAGATTAACATATTCAGTGAAATGATTGGGCATAACTGTACCCATGCATTATGGAGGATATATGCCCCATTCACAGTTACTTGGAGCTTTTGAGGTTATCTGAATATTATGTGGCTAGCAAGGTAGAATCCTTCCTAAATAACATCAAGGTGGCGTCATCCATAGTACTAGGACATTTCTAAAATCTTTTAAAGAAAGAAAAACCATCATGTTTGGTAGTATGATGACAGAAAAGGATGATTTATATCAGTGATTCTCAAACTTTTGGTCTTAGGAAATTTTACACCACTCTGAAATACTGAAAATGCTAAATAACTATTTGTTATATTAGAAATTAAAATGGAGAAACTTTTTAAACACTTCCAATCAGCTGTCAGAGTGATGACATTATCACATGTCATGCGGCCTCTGGAAAACTCCACTGTACTTGGGAAGTTTTCCAGGGCTACTTGAGAAGAATGAGAAAGGAAATAACATCTTAGTATTATTGTGCAAACAATTGTAATTCACAGACACTAGGGAAGAGCTAGAGACTCCCAGGCATCCTCAAACTATGTGAATTTCCAGTCTACATGATGTATCCTTGTGTCTCCTGCCCTCTAGGGAAAGGGATGCCAGGATGTTTTTATTCGCTTATCTGATTAATCTAGTCACTTGACAGAGGTATTAGCGAAAAGTCAACAGCAGGATTTCAAAGTCTGATGATACATTTTATCATCATTTACCTCCCTTTGCTCAGATTGTCTATTTATAAACTTTATAAACTTTGTTTGGTTTCTCAGATAGAGTGAGTTGACCAGTTAGCACAAAAAGTCTAGCTCCCTTTGAAATCTGATTTCCCTATATGAATGATTATTAATTTTCTTGGGCTAGTGTGAACTCATTTCTCAGAATCTGAGGTCTAAACCTGGACCTAGCCTGGCCTTAGCACACTAGTAATACTCCATCTGCAGCTTTGTTGAATAGTTAGCCAGCTGGTGAATTTCCTTTTCAGTTTATGCCTACAACAAAAACCTGAGAGTAATGTCACTGAGGGAAGAACTTCCTAAATTGGGAAGTCCAACTCTGACATACCCCTCTGCAGGACTAACCCAATGCTATCATTTCAATTTAAATTTGCAAAGAGATTTGCATATATGCTGTGTGATTTTTCTCTACCAGTAGTAGTATTTAAAATAAGTCTTACACCAAACTTTGCTTCTATTTTGCCTGTAGGAGTCAAAGTTTTGACTCTGGCATCCCTCTTAGCCCAGTCTTTCCTGCACTGAGTTGGATCCTCGGAGGTGATAACCTGGGCTTGTCAAATATTTTACCTGCTGCATGTTTTTAAACATCATCTAAAAGATCTCTCATAAATGGGCCATGGTAATTTCTTCACTATGAAAATCTACTGATAATGTTACTCTGGGTTTAAAGTAATACACATTTTAGATTAATTTTGCAAAATGGATAATCTTGGGTAGATTTTTGTTGTTTTAAGGTAAAAGCTTGCTTTGCTTTTTTTTTAATGACTTTTATTATAATAAAAGTCCACAGACATGAGTCAGATATATTCTTTCATCTTTCTTCACCCTAACAGGGAATTTAAAAAATCAATCAATCTACAAAAATTATTTTATTGCCAGGAATGGAGAGAAAAGCTGTATTTAGGAAAAGCTATGCTGCAGCTTCAAAAAAAAAAAAGCCAAATATTTAATTCATCATCACATCTAGTTCCCAGTGTAACCTTGGGAAATCCTACAGGCTTCTATTGCCACGTGCTGTGCTCAGGGTCACTTATAGATCCCCTTCCCCAAACAGTCAAAGTTCAGGGGAGACCTGCCAGGGGCCAGCACCTCCCAGCCCTTGTGGTAGCACATACTGGAATTGCCCATTGTTTGGAACATGTCTAAGAGTACATAACTTCAAGTTGCCTCAGTGTAACGAGTTTAATAGAACTGCCTTATTTCCTCCTAAGGGAAGTGCTATTTTGAATGTCCTATTTGGGTTTAGTTACCCAGGTTTAGTGAGGTCTTAGGGATGAGAAAGGCATTACTGAACAGATTATGAAAGAGTTCCAAGAAGAAGAGAAAGCATGGGTCTTGTTTCTGTAAATAAACATAACTAAATTCTGAAGAGTCAAGGGGAAATTAGAAAATTTAGAAATGAATAAAATTTAACTAACCCTTAGGGAAAAGGGTAAAATAATCAATCCTGTTTCAACCATGTCCCCCTCAAAACCATGTTAATTTAGCATTTTATTATATTATACAGTTTAATACATATAATTCTTGTCTTTCTAGAAACATATGTAGCTTAATGAGGACAAGAACAATATCTCATGCTGATACCATATCCCTGCAGGAGCTACCCAGAACACACTTTAGAGATATTTCAAATGAAAAACAAAATCTATTTCTAAGCTTACCAAGCAATATGGAAAAAATAAATAAATGAAGTGAAATCCCCGAATTTGGGACAGCAAAGCTATAAAGGGTTTGGGTATTAGGATCCTTCCTTTGAGGTGCTAATAGCTTCAGTTATAGAATAAGATATACACACACACACATGCACACAAATGAAGAATACATGTGCAGGTCAGTAGTGGATAGGCATGAGTTATAAACAGGAACACTAAGTGATTGCAGCAAAGAAGCTCTTCATGTCACTAACCATCCAGGAACAAAGAGGCAGTTGTGTGAACATCTCAAGAAAGTGGTCAGAGGCAGGAAATAGCCATATTCACCCACACAGAAAGTTATCACTTGTTCTTTGCAAAGTCTTTGGCAAGACATTTAACTGTCTGGCCAGTGAAATGCAGAATAGTGCATCAGGTACTAGCAGACATCTGCCGTTTCAAGGAAAACCTGTTTTAACTTCTTGGGATAGTCTTCCACTCAGTCTGTGCAGGGGGATCACCCTGTAGGGATGTCACATGCCAGAGTCAGGAAGCCCTTTCTTCCTAGATTCTCACATGGAGAAAAATGCATGAAGAGTCAGATGTGCAAAAAAACAACAAGAAAGACATTTGGTAACATTAATTAGCTCCAAGGCATAAAACTAAGTGGCTGGAGGACAGAAATTGGCCAAGAAAGAGGATTTTTCAGAGTATACCTGTATTTGCTCTTTTAATTTTGAATCATGTGAATGTTGCAATGACTCAAAAACCGAACAAAATGAAACAAAGAAAATCTTTTAAAAATTGCCAGAGGGCTAATCTAGGCTATAAACTAATAACATACTGTTTGTCTCCCTGGCACTCACATAACATAGTCCTTGAATACTTACAAGGTTTGGGCAAGTTTCCAATTCAAAGAATTAATTTTATCTCTGGCCCTTGGAAGTTTTGCCACTGAGAGGCTCCTACTGGCAAATAGTAACATTAATATAGCATTTTAATCTTTTCAAAGCACTTTCACTTGTTTTTCCTACATGTTTGCATTAAATTAAACTTTGTTCTCCCAATTTAAAGAAAAGCAACAATGTTTCATATAATGGTATCTAGCAAATGCAATTCTTCCCTGGGGCCCAAAACAATAACAAAAACAAAACAAAACAAAACCTTTATTTTACTGAAACAAATATACCTGGTTCTTTTTTTAGGAAGCTGCCTGCATGGGACTAGTTCCTTTTTGAAAAAAAAAAAAAAATCCTTAATGTATTTGATGGTACAGCCCATATCACCTTTTTTTTTTAGACGGAGTTTTGCTCTTGTTACCCAGGCTGGAGTGCAGTGACATGATCTCAGCTCACTGTAACCTCCACAAGGTTCAAGTGATTCTCCTGCCTCAGCCTCCCAAGTAGCTGGGATTACAGGCATATGCCACCACGCCCAGCTAATTTTGTATTTTTAGTAGAGACAGGGTTGCTCCATGTTGGTCAGGCTCATCTTAAACTTCTGGCCTCAGGTGATTCGCCCACCTCAGCCTCCCAAAGTGCTGGGATTACAGGCATGAGCCACTGCATCCGGCCTTTTTTTCTTCTTCTTCTTTGGGTAGTATGACATGGACCCAGTCATTCTTTCTGGATCCACCCCAGTACCTCTCAAATTACAGCACTTAGAGAATAGAATCTAAAACTCCACTAATGCCCTGGCCAGCTGTGGCTATGAGAATTGTAACTTCCTTTGTTCTAGATTTCCTACTGCCTGAAAACAGACTATTATGACCTTAGTTTTCCTAGCAGCTAAGTCACATTCATTCTTTCATGTTGACTTGCTAAAGACTTTTTGTTCTTCTATTGAGATTACTGTTCTGACAGCTTTCTTCAGGCTGCTAATTTTTTTCAAATACCTACATGCATGTCCCTGTATTATTTCTTATTAGGGTTTATTCTAGCTAGATTCCAGCCAGTTGCCATCTTTCTGAATCTAGATTCCATCATTGACTAGTCCTCCAAAACTTGAAAATCTGGTCTTCTGTCTTTTTCTGAATTTATTCTGTGGGATCTGGTTATTGTTGAGCAGAATAAGGAACCAGATCTCATAGAATAAATTCACAACTCTCCCTTTAGATCAGGGATTCTCAGGGTGCTCTTCTTTATATCTTATTGTGAAAACATTCAAATATACACCGAAATAGAAATAATAGCACAAAAACACCTATATCTCTTCCCACTGGAGTCCACAACTATCCTGAATATTTTTTGCCACATTTATTTCACCTATATATTGTTTTGCCAAGCCATTTTAAAATAGACATCATGACATTGTGCCACTATATAGTTCAATTTGCAGTCCTTCAACACGTAAAACCATTATATACCCTAACAAAATATGAATAATTCCTCATTCTTATATTCACTTAGTCTACATTCAAATTTCCCATTTGTCCTCAACGTGACAATTATGGCAGTTTGTTCAAAGCCAAGTCACAGCAAGGGTGGCATATTGCATTTCTCCTCCTTTCGTCTAGAACTGTACTTCAACTTCCTTTTTCATCACATTAATCTCTTGAAGAAACAAAGATAATTGCTTTGTAGAACGCCAAAGACCTCTTTAAATAATATGCCTCTTCATGTTGTTCGTTATAAATGCTGCTATCAAATAAAGGTCATCTATTAAATAACTGTTAATTTTCCTTTTTAATTACAAATTTATACGTAACTACCAATTAGAGATCCTGGTAAACATGAAATAGCACTCTTATCATTTTCGGGTTGACGTGATCACAAGGATAAACTCAGAATTGATACTTTATAATGGTATAACATTGATCAAGTTACTTAGCATCCATGGGTCTTTCCTGTGTTCAATAATGAATCTACCTCAGCAATACGGTTCTTATAAGGATTGATACAATAAGCATGCAAAGTTTCTATTTAGAAACTCTGATCATGGAAGCAAACACATGTTTTCATTTAATATATGGAAAGCTGACTAAAACAAATATTTATCCAATGCACATTGTGTGTTGGTAAAGAGGATAGTTAGATGAGCACAACTGATTCCCCACCACATGTTCAACATTGTTAGAGAGATCACATTTCATTCTCACAATAACCCTGTGAGATAGGTATCATTATCCCTATAATATGGATGAAGAAACTGGATCTCACAAAGTTTAAATGACACACCCAGTTAGGAATTGAACTTAGGTGTTTTTGAATGCATACCTGGAGCACCTCCCACTTCCCTACTCTGCCCCTCTGATTTAATAATACCCACTCCCTGGACAATACAATATCTAAGATATTATATCTACCAATCACTACAACCTTGCTAGAGTTAAATTAGAAGTAGCAGTTCCCTCATTGAAATCTTTTACCTTCTGAGGGATACAGCTGGCTACAAACCAAACAAAGCCAAGCCTTATCTTCGGGGATTTCCCCAGAACGGGAAGTGCCACGCACTACTCGCTGCAGGCAGAAGCCTCTCTCCTCCCAACCTGTTAGACATTCAGGTTTACTGGAAATGTGTCATGTCTTTGGAATGGAAGGCAGGGAGGAGCCAGACAGAGCCAGGTACTGGCATGATACTTGCCCACCAGGATACATAAGGCTTGGGAGGTGGGAGGTGGCAGGTAGGAAGGCAGACTAAGACCAAGAGCATGTGAAAGTCAGTGAGCATGTGTTGCACCAGTCAGTCTTGGGTTTTTTGCCAGCAATTGGAACCCAAATAGAGGGGTTTGCGCGAGCACACGCGTGTGTACTTGGAAGTGTCAAAGGCACTTCTTACCTGTGGTAAAGCCCAGCCACTGGACAAAGCCCAAGGGTCTAGATTCTGCCTGGGGAAGGGAGATTGGCTAGGGCAAAAGTGGGAAGTCCGGGGATTTTCAGTGGAGCCATATCATGATTTATGGGGGAGAAGGATGCACTTAGAGGTTGCATTCAATATTAAAATATTTTACATTCATGCATGTTAAAACAAAATATATTTGTGTTTATAATACAAAATGATGAAAACAAATTGGAATAAAATCTTCTTAGCCAGGAGGACGTGCAGATGAACTCTAGGTAAAAACTGTTACCTTTTGCATAGTGATTTTTCAAGGGAGTTGTGAAATTTCTATGTTAAACAAAAGAGGGTGTTAGTTTCAATATTGAGGAATCCTTGGAGAACAGAGGGGAAATGAAAAATTCTGGGAGCAGATGTTGGTGCTGGAAGAGCAACAAGTTAGCCTAGGGCTTATCTCTCTATTTGGTTTATTTATTTCAATAAACATTCTCTGAAAAACCTACTAAACACCAGGCACTGTGAAAACCTACTAAGCAACAGGCATTGTGTTGGGTGCTGTGAATTCAACAGTGAATGTGACCATTTTCTGCCCTTTAGAACTTTGTGATCTAATTAAGCAGTAGAGGCAGGTTAACAGATAACAAGAAAATCTCAGAAGCGCTATGATAGAAGTATACACAAGGCACTAGGAGGGATCTCTGGCCCAAGTTCAAGGTGGGGAGGAGCAGAAAGAATTTCTTAGACCATAAATCAGTTTTAAAGAGCACTTGGCACTGGATCTAGTGCAAAGAGGCAGTCTCTGAAGCAGAGTGATGAACCACAGTGACGACAAGTTTGGGCTCTGTACTATGTTGGCTGAGTTCCAGGACAGATGGGACAACCTTGGGCAAGTAACTTGTTGCTCTAGACCTTGGTTTCTTCCTCTATTAACATCAAGATGGTAAGATAGTATTGCAGGGGGCCAACCTCCTGGCCTTATGAAGGTTCACTGACAAATAAGCTCATAAACAGCAGATTAATTGAAGAAAAGACATATGCATTTACTTTAAATGCATGCACAAGAATCTTTGGAATGAGAACCCAAAGATATGGGAGAAATTATCCATATTGATGCTTAGATTCAAAAAAGTATGGACAGTTGTGTACAAATATAACTGGACAAAAAAGTTGTGATCAAATGCTAGTAGACTGAGTGGGGAAATCAAGCAAGACCTGCCTGTTTGAATTCTTCTTGGCCTCTCTGAGCATGCATTTCTTCCTCTGGGTGTGGGGCAGGACGTCTTTGGGGAAAGGGGGCTCTGGTTTTTATGGCCCACCATAGAGAAGAGGGATTCTAGTTTCTGTGACTGGCTTCAGGGGAGAAAGGTGCTGAGAGACAGAAGGGTAGCAGAAGTTCAGAGAAAAGCTTTTACTTGTAATGCTGCTTCTGAGGCCTTCATTGTGGGATATTCTGTTCTGAACCCAGTAGCACCTACCTCGCCGGGTTGCTATGAGGAGTTAGCATATAGCTCTCAATACATATAAATTATTAATTAATTTAAAACGCAATATGGCCTGATGGATTTGAAATTGTGTTTGGGGGACTTTTAATTAGGGTGTTTTCTGTAATTAGAAATTCTCTTCCAATGCTAGTCAAAGTTTTTGACTCTTCATTTCTAGAACATTACACAAGAGTCAGTGAAGGTCATCTATCAAGCATTGACATACAAATTAGAAATGTGGCAGTGTTGGCTTTAAAAGGGAGTTCATGGTTTTCATTAAAAGCTACCTCAGCGAAACCCAGCATGTGCTCTCATTCATTTATGTATTTATTCTTTCCATATTTTAGTTCCTAATATATACCAGTACTATGCTTTATGGTAATCTTACAGAGATGATTTATACATAATACTTTTCCATAGAAACTCACAGTCTTAGAGGGAGAGAGAGAATCACAATACCATGTGATAATGTGACAGCAGAGGTATGTACAAAATGCTTTGGGGAACTCTCCCAAGTATGGTAATGACTAATACTGACTGCATATCTGGGAAGGTTTCATGAAGGAGGTAACCTTCTATTAGGTCTTTAATAAGAGTTTCCCAAGCAGATACCTGTGGGATGGGAAAATTCCAGGAAGAGGAGATTGCTTATGTAGAGAACCAAAGCAGTGATCAAAATCGATGTATTCATGGCAAAAAGCATAAAAGCATTGCGTGACATTAACAGGGGAATAGGTTAAAAAGGTAGATTACGCCAGTATGATGTGTGGCTGTGCAATACTTACTCTATAGGCCAGAGAGAACTAGAGGCATGATCAGAACAGATCTGAGAAAGAACAGACACTGGGAACTGAGTGGCAAGAGAGGAGAGACTAGATAAAAGGAAATCAGGCTTTTGCAATAATGCAGGCAAGGCTGGTAATCTTGAAAGTTTCTGGCTGTATATATAGTCTGGCCATGCAGAAAGAGAACAGGACTATAGATGCATTTCTAGTAGTCATCAGTTTAAAGGTGATACTTAAAGCTGTACATATCAATGAGCCACCCCAAGGACATGATGTACTTGTGGGAGGAGAGGGGTCCAGTTGGGCAGGCCTGGAGAATACCAGCAAAAAATAAGGTAAAAAAAGACAGCAAGTTAAACTGAGAAGAAATCAAAAGTTGTTGTCCTAGGGCAGGAAGGAGTTTAGGAGGTGAGAAGTTATCAATGGTGCCAAATAACAGAGGGAATTTCAATATGAAAGCAGCAAAAGGAAGTCACCAGATTCCATGGTTAAAAAGTTAGGGTAACCATAGTTAAAGTATTAGGGACTGAAGCTGGATTGCAATGAGTTTAAGAAAAAAGGCAGTTTGGTGATAAGAAGGAGAGGCAAGGTTGAAGAAAAGCTATCCTTAAAAGAGGGAGAGATGGGAACCTATTTGAATCCAAGCCTGTGGACACCTAAGCACTCTACTGCTTTCTGTCTATGAGTTGTTTTTCAAATTAAAAAAAAGTGAAACCTCTTTTATGGTGTAAGGATCTCATTGGCTGTCTTTTTTAAAAAACTGCATCCATGAGTGCTACCTGAAACCTCTCTGCCCACTCTACACTGGCTTTTCTCCCCGCCCTCAGCATATCCACAGCAGGGGCTACAGGGACTACAGGAGGAATGAAAGAAAGCATGCTCTCCAGCTCGAGGCCTCCTCCAGGATCCTACCTTCTGCCTGCGCCAGTCCTCCTCACATGTTGGCTCCCCTCCTTCCTGACCCACTTGGCTTCATGACTTGGCTCCCACTTCTACTATCTCTGCAGCCTCAAACTGTCTATTTGAGCCTGGTAACAGGACCTTCTCAGCACAGCAAACTGAGGCCTGGGTGTCATGGCCATGGTTCCTGCTCTGGCCCCAGGACCTGCCACACATTTGTTTATTGTGCATACATTTGTTAAACCCCTACTACAAGCCAGGTACTATTATAGGCACTCAAAGACATTGGTGAAGAAGGAAGTCAAAGTCCCTGTTCTTAATGCAATTTATATTTAGTAGAGGAGACAAACAATAAATAAACGGTGGGCAAGGCCCCCAGGTGCCCTTTCTTCCAGGAAAAGAACAAAAACGCACTCACCTTGAACCAGAACTTCATAAACTCTCGAAGCCACTCCCTTTGATGTGGTTCCCTAAGAGATAAAGTCTCACTACTATCACATCTCTCTCTCAGGCATTCAGACTCCAAATGGGCATATGTCATCAATAAGTCAGATTCTTATTCTATTCAGACTGACTGTAAATTATGAACTAGCCCTATTTTTAGCTCCTGTATCCCTTTTTGATGGCTTTTCTCCCTTGTTGCAGCAATGTAATTCTACATACCTATCTGGCACACCACATCCCCCACATGCTAAGCTTTCCACTAATTAGCATATATTACTCAATCTAGGAAGCTATCAATTAAAAGATGAACCACTATTGTGTGTACTTTTTTAACAAATGTGTAATAAGAGAAACTTCATAGGGGACCCCTACATAAAGCTGAGACACCAAAGAGCTATACCCTTCATATAAAGGTAAATAAGAAATGAACTCACAGAGAGAGACAGGAAAAAAAATCTTACATGTCTCAGTTTTGGCTTTAGTGGAGAGAGTGGGAAGTTCTCACCTGGGAATTTAAACTACAAGCTGGTACTCTTACTGATGGTCTAAGTTCATACTACTAGTGTGGCCCAAATATCCCCAATCTCAGAATTTAATATGAGATTAAAGTCTCAAAGTGACTGGCAGAAGCAAAAGTAAACCCCCAGAACCAAGGCTCACGATGCCCAGTGAGGATTCACCTACTCTGGCAATAATCAAAATCAGTCATTTCTAATACAATCAAAAGATAATAGCCATCTGGCCAACTTCATTGTGTAGAAATTTAAACTGTAGTCTCTACTCTGTGTGTTTATTTATTCATTTTTGAGACCGGGTCTTACTCTGTCACCCAGGCTGGAGGGAAACTGCATGATCATGACTTACCACTCCCTGGTTCAAGTGATCCTCCTGCCTCAGCCTCCTGAGCAGTTAGGACTACAGGTACATGCCACCGTGTCTAGCTAATTCTTCCATTTTTACTTTTTGTAGAGATGGGGGTCTCACTGTGTTACCCTGCCTGGTATTCTCTGGGTTTAAATTTTGTCTATAGTGACCACTTCAAAGTTATAGGTGGAGAAATTAAGGCTTATATAGTAAATTAACCATGATACCGAGATGCTCATTTAGACAATCCTTTTTCCTGAAAGATCAGAACTTCTCTGTGCCTGGCATCTTAGGCTCATCCTTCTTGGATGGTAGCTTCTATTAAGTAGCATGCTGGCATCTATGGAAATGGGTATCAGCGGCTAGAGACATCAGTCTTAATTATTGACAAAACCTCCCTGGAGATCCTAGGCTAATTCTGGGCACCACAACTGGAAATGTAGATGCTGGTAAAGGTATTGAAGGGAGATATGAAACCTATTGTAAAGCAACAACTAGGTGGGAAAGGTAAAATTTTAAGTTTTTCTATCTAGAAGGAATACCAGAAATCATCTAGTTCAATTCCTCAGGCTATATGGCAGGACTATCCTATCAGATTTTTGCACGGCTCATCTTTTTGCATAACTCAGATTTCTGTTTAAATGGCAGTCCTCAGGAAAGACCCCATTGATTATCTCATTTATAATAGCCTGCCCACATCCCAAGATGCTTAATCCCTTCTTTTGCTTCTTTTAGTCAGAACAATTATCACTTTCTGAAATGGCCTGAGACTATTAGTTAATTATCAACTTGCTTTTTCTGTCTTCCCCCTTGCTTGTTCAGCTCTATAAACCCAGAGCCAGAACAGCATCTGGCCCCAAACTGAAGCTCAAAAATGTGTTGAGTGAGTGAACAGTGAATGAACCAGTGAAGAAAATAAGGATAGCCTTAATTATTGGAACTTCAGACAAATGAAATGTAATGATGTTAGGTTTAGATTCGTTTTTAAGTGATTCACTTTCTCTGAAAAGCTACCTTTAATGTTTCAGTATTACAGCCCTTAGCATTGTGTCTGCTACAGACAAGGTTCTCAGTAAAAGTTTGCTGAATGGTAGAACGCACATGATACATCCCTTTACAGTAAGCTTCTTCAATTCTCTAGAAATTGATGAGGCTTACTATTAGACAACGATATATGTGATGATATTAACCAAAGAAAAAGGTTGAAAAACAGAAACAGATTTTAGATCATCTGAAACATTGAAAGAGATGAAAGAGTTAAAAGATTTAAAATAACATTTTAAAAATGAGAAGTGGGGCCAGGTACAGTGGCTCATGCCTGTAATCCCAGCACTTTGGGAGGCTGAAGTAGGAAGATCACTTGAGCCCAGGAGGTCAAGACCAGCCTGGGCAACATAGGGAGACCCCCATCTCTAAAAAGGTTTAAAAATTAGCTAGGCCTGGTGGCATCTGCCTGTGGTCCCAGCTACTCAGGAGGCTGAGGTAGGAGGATTGAACCACTGAACTCCAGCCTGGGTGACAGAGTGAGACCCTGTCTCAGAGAGAGAGAGAGAAAGGAAAATCATCAAGACTGGGAAAGGAAGGCAGGAGGGCTTTAAAGGAAGAAGAAGGAAAGGTTCAAATTGTTATGGTTGTCCATGTCCCTCTCATTTCCTGTGTAAAGTAATCAAAGGAGTTTATAAAATCTTCCTTCAGGAGGGTTTTAAACATAAAAACACTATTTTGTTGGCTGGTGTGCCTGTGGATCCACCCTGGAAGTGAGGAATAAACCAAGTGGTCTTTCCAATATCTTCTAGACTGATGATACTCTCTCTGCATTTGGACACTGAAAAGCCACTCATTCATCATTCAGCAAACATTTACGAAGTACCTGCTATGTATCAGAGAACGGTTAGAATTCTTTTGGTTGCAAGTGACAGAAACTCAATCTTTACCTTAATACTTTAAGAAAAAAAGGAAGTGCACTTGAAGAATCCTGGTTTTCTGCCAAAGCAACCAACCCACAAGAAGGGCAGGGATGCAGCAGACCCCAGGAACCACTGCAGCCAGGGACCTAACATAGTGAGGATTCTATCTCCATCTTTTTTCTTTGTTGTCTTTACATGTTGTCTTTTTCTTTCTCCTGTTGCAGACTATCTATTTCCTTACAGTGAAAAATGAGACTATGGACATCTTTCAAGATTTATGTCTTATAGTTTTTGGCTGCTTGTGATCTCAAGCCCAAAGATCTAGAAGGCACCAGACCCAACTTGGAAGCATGCCCTACCATCAAGTAATCAATTATAATCATTGGGATGGGACTAAATAAGAACTCCAAAAGGACATAGTTTTCAAAGTAAGTGGATAGGGCTGAGCAGGTAATACCATATACACTCATTATGGCCTGATACTGTGTTGTACCAATAGAGGTGAAACAAATATGACTAAACCTTTATATCTGTAAAATCAAGGTGTCGTCAACTGGTGCACTACACAAAAATGCTGTCAATTATATTCTTAGGAAGTCTGAATGCAATGCTATGTTTACGAACAGCTGAGATTGGCACCTCTCTTTGAGAAGACTGCCCTAATTTTCTTTGTAAAAGGCACATCCTGTCTCTCCAGTTCAGAGGGTTGATCTGTTGCTTGGGGTTAGTCATGACTATAGAAGTAAAGATGTCAGTTGAATAACTGGTTTGTCAACTCTTGGGAGGATGGAAAAGAGGTATGATACTATTGGAGATGAGTACTATGAAGTAGGAAACAAGAGGAGTAGGTAGAGGGAAAGAAGAAAGAAAACAGGAGAAGGTGGTTACTGGAGTTAATGTAAAATTCACTCCAAACCTCACTTCCTCACAGTTCTGCATGTCCTCCTCCATTCAAGAATGAGAAGGAGGCCGGGCGTGGGGGCTCACTCCTGTAATCCCAGCACTTTGGGAGGCCGAGGCGGGTGGATCATGAGGTCAAGAGATCGAGACCATCCTGGTCAACATGGTGAAACCCCATCTCTACTAAAAATACAAAAAATTAGCTGGGCATGGTGGTGCGTGCCTGTAGTCCCAGCTACTTGGGAGGCTGAGGCAGGAGAATTGCCTGAACCCAGGAGGCAGAGGTTGCAGTGAGCCAAGATAGCGCCATTGCACTCCAGCCTGGGTAACAAGAGCGAAACTCCGTCTCAAAAAAAAAAAAAGAATGAGAAGGATGGGCTCTCCTGAAACATACTGAGAGGACAAAGCTCTTTGATCTGGGACTCTCTAATCAGTTTGTTCCTTTAGCTCCTTGGCAGTCTGCTCAGCTCTTTCCCTAGAGTTATGTCTGGCTGGAAAGTGGGCATGAGACTGAATGAACGACTCACACCTTAGCTTCGTTTCCATGACAATCGATCTTCACCCATTGTATTTGGGGTCTCATAACTTATACCTTCCCCAGGAGGAATTGGTACTTTTGGAGAAGGGATGGGGCTATCTTGTGGCCAAAGAGCTGGGTTTTTCAGAAGTCTCTGAAGGACTGACCATTACTTCTTTTCTTTCCTTTTTCCCTTTTTCTCTCTTCCTCTCTCTCTTTCTTTTCTTTCTTTCTTCCTCGCTCTTTCTCTTTCTTTTCCCTCCCTTCCTCCTTCCCTCCCTCTACTTCCTTCATTCCTTCCTTCTTTCCTTCCTTCCTTTCTTCCTTCCTCTCTCACTTTGTTGCCCAGGCTGCAGTGCAGTGGTGCAATCATAGCTCACTGTAGCCTCAATTTTCCAGGCTCAAGCAGTACTCCTAACTCAGCCTCCCTAGCAGCTGGGACTACAGGTACACATCACCACTCCCAGTGAATTTGATTTATTTATTTTTTTTTAGAGACAAGGCTCATTATTTTGCCCAGGGTGATCTCAAACTCTTGGGGTCATGCCTCAGACTCCCAAAGGGCTGGGATTGCAGGCATGAGCTATTGTGCCTGGCCTCAAATGACATTTCTTTTAGAGATACTTCCATTTTTTGATGCTTAAAGTAATAGTAATTCTTTCCAGGTGGCTTGAAATAAAAACATTCTCATTTCCCTTTAGAAAATGGCCACAGTCCAATATCTCTCAAATAATCCTACAACAACAACACGCTAAAGTATGCCTCATCATTTGTTAGTCAAATGGTAAAGTAGGAAGAAATGATGGATTGGTGACAAATTAACTCAGCCAGCTGGTCCAAGTTAGGAGCCATCTCTCCTCTCCCTGGATGAAAATGGCTGTCCAAAATTGAGGGATTTCAGGGGTAGGAATGTTTGAGGATTGCTTGCAAGTCAAAGGATTCATGTGGTGAGAGTCACAGGGGAGATGGAGGTGTACAGAGAAATGAGGATGACAAATACCTGCACTGAAATATTAGTGACTCTGGGATCCTCCATTAGGCCTGAAGGGAGAAACCATGACTTAATCATTTCTCTAGCTCTAGCTAGCATGATTGCTATTTCTATGTCTCTATCTCATAGCTGGCACATATCAGCTGTTTTGTAATAGTTCACTGACTGAATAAAAGTAGGATTTGATGTTTGTGAGCGTATCTCAGGAGGTCTGCACAATCTGGGACTTCCTAGTGGCATAAGATTTGTCCTCCATAAGTGAAAGAAGTCTTTCTTTTTATTTTTTTAACTATCCCTCATTTAACTCTGATTTGATTTTTCTGAACTGGGCTCCTTGTTAACTGGGAATTTGATTCCAAAAACCTGGCTCCAAATGAGATACAGAAGATAAATTTTCTTTCTCCTAGGCTCCTAAAAGAGGAACAATTCATTCTGGGATCCAGAAACTAAGCCCAGAATAAAAATTCTTGCAGATCATAAGCAGAGCTCAGAATTAAACAAATGGAATTGTCTTTCAGGGTTATCTTCATTGAGGAACCACACAACTGCCTCAGAAAAGCAAAAACAGATGTCCAGTAAGTATGGAGTTTTCTGCTCATTCTTTCCAATTAATAAGACCCCTAGGCCTTACAATAAAATCTGGGGGTGTTCACAAAGTTGCATCTCTTGTCTGTACATGAGATTGCTGGAATATACTGGCTTAAAATTCAAAAATAGTGAGGAAAAGATAAATAATGAGAATTAGTATTTGTCACTGAGAAACAACAAGGTAAGATATGTTTACAGCTTAGTGGCTAAAAGCAGGGTCACTGATTGCAGCCTGACTGGGTTTGTATCCTGGCCCATACCTTACTGCTAGCATATGGCTTTGGGCAAGGCTATCGTGAGACTGGAATGCGTTTTATCAAGAAACTGCTTAAAATATATACCTAGAATATAAGCACTCAATAAATATGAACTAATCATACTATTATTTTAAAACATGTTTTCTAAATCACAATTCTAATAAGGCCTGCTTAAAATACTTAATAGCTGTTCATTTCTCCCTGGATAAACTGTCCTTTAGCACGGCCTCCAGAGGCATCTCGGGGCTGGCCTCTGCTTATCCCCTGAGACTCCTCCCAAATCAAACCAAGCTCCAGCTTTACTTAGAGCTCTTTGAATTGCCTTCCTCTTTTATATCTCTGTACATATTCTTCCTCTGCTTGAACTATTCTTCCCACTCACTCACCTGGCTGATATCAATTTGTTCCTAAAATAGCCCGGAGATCAGCTCTTCCAGAAAGCCGGAATATGATCAGCTTGGCTTAGGGACTCTTCCCATAAGCTCTTACTTTCCCATGATCTGCCGCATCGTGTTCTTCATCATGCTCTGCTGACATACTTTCCTTCTCTTCCTCCCCCCGTGGACTATGTGCTCCTTTGGGAGAAGATGTGGCATCTTTTTCTCCAGTGTATCCCCGGCCTGTATAACTGAACAGGTATTCTAAAAAATGCTTGGAATTTTTTAAATGGCTAAATTTTAAAAAGAAGGCTTAAAAATGAGCAGACTTAAAGATGGGATTTTAAAATAAATTATCCTATAAAGATCAGCAAAGGAAGAATTAAAACCCAAAAGAAAAAGAAATAATTACAGAAAAATCTGCAATTTCCTCACTTCTCAACTCACTCCTGCTTCCTTACATTTGAAGCCTGGGATTCACTCTCTTCTTTTTATTTTTTTTATTTTTTTCCAGTTTCAAGTTCTGCTTAAAAGCATGTCAGGAGTCACAGTCTCCAGCGACTCAGGTCTTTGATGCTGTTACCTAATCCTACTTTATTTCCTGCAAGCAACCACAGAACCAACTCTGATCCTCAACAGGAAATTCTGAGCATTCACCATTTCAGATCCTTTTAAGCTGATTATGGTTCTTAGAGGTAAGAGATCCAAGGCTTTCCATAATCTAGACAATGAGAAGCCTGTCTATTTGAACTAGCTCGGCACTGGATTCGTTATACCCAATTGCCTTTACCTTTTCTAAGAATGATAGAGGGCTTCAATTAATTCTTTAAATACCCTTGTTCGTGTAAATACCATCCCATCACACATTGATTCTGAAAGTGATAGCTCAAGGTCATTCAGCAGGTCAGCGGCAGAACAAGGTCAGATTCCAGTTCCAGCCAACAGGGGTTCTAGGGTCATATAACCCAAGTCAGTCTCTTTTTCCCTTTGACATATTTTATTCTGGACACAGAGCTATGGAATTAAAAATGGAGGGGGGCAAGCTTAAGAGAAATCATATATTGAACAATGATAAGTGGCATGAACATGTGATAAATAACATTTACGTATTCCCTGTGAACTGGTTCTCAGTAATCTGAAAGGCACTAGCAAAAGCAAATGTCCTAAATTACCCAAGGGTATTACCCTATGTTCCTTTCTTTAGCACGAAACTACCCCCCCAAGAAACCAGAATAAGTATTAAGAAGGAAATAAGATGTCTGAAGAGTTAGGGACTCTCATCATTTTTTTTTTGCTATTTCTAAAGATTTTGCTTTGAGGTTAATTAGGTATAAACATCTGAAACACCTTTCTTGGGATATTTGATCATGGCAAGTGGGAGAGACGTCAGAATATTTCAGTCTCAAGTGGGAATAACCTCAAAGCTATTCACATTTCTCAGCAGTAGACAAAAGAATGGTCAGGGAACATTTCAAAGCTGATGAAGTCTCTTCTAGTCTAAAGTCCAAAGAGTCTAAAGATCATATATACCTCTATAGCTCTTACATCTACTCTATAATCTGTCACTTAGTAGATGCTCAACAAATTTTCTGAAAAAATTGTGAGTACATGGCTTATTCAATTAAGAAATTATGGTATCTTTATTTTTTTTTTTTTGGAGACAGTTTCACTCTTGTCGCCCAGGCTGGAGTGCAATGGTATGATATGAGCTCACTGGAATGTCCGCCTCCTGGATTCAAGCAATTCTCTTTCCTCAGCCTCCCAAGTAGCTGGGATTATAGGCACTCACAAGCACACCTGGCTAATTTTTGTATTTTTAGTAGACATGGGGTTTTACCATGTTGGCCAGGCTGGTTTCAAACTCCTGACCTCAGGTGATCTGCCCATATCAGCCTCCCAAAGTGTTGGGATTACAGGCATGAGCCACTGTGCGCAGCCAACTCATGGCCTTCTATCTTTATTTTCAACAAAAAGTGCCTTGATTTGTATCATTCACCAATTTCTATAGTGTAAATCTTCTGACATGTCCAATTTCAAGCTACTAATGGCTGAACAACCAACTCACAAAATTTTGGAAGTGTTAATGATCACTTTCTTCACTTTCATAACCAGCAGGAATCAACTCCAGTACACCAGAGCTTGACTCTGTATTCAAAAGCAAGTCAATACTGAGTGGTTTCAATGTATTTCGCCCTCAGAGGGAAGGGATACTCACAGTTGGCTTGGGAACAGAAATTCGACACTGTAATAAAGCTTCATGCTTAGAAAAGCACATAGGTGATGCCCTGTGGGAACTGTCAAGGGCTGAAATCATTTTCTGCCTGTAACCTAGTATGAAAAATTGAAATTATATATAGACCCCTCCTCTGCATGCTGCATCTCTTCCTCTAAGCAAAAAAGAAAGAAACCTCAGCATGCATAAACCGTCTCCAACAGGGCTGAGGTTTGCATGAACATGGGAAAACCTCAAATCCAGGTCTGAATGTGCTCGAGTCACAGTTACCAATTTAAGACCTTTGTAATGGTGGAGATTAGATAGAAGAAGTTTATTTCTAATCACTGTACTGAAAGGTTTATTTGTGATACACCAGGAAATTTTTCTGTGTGTTAACAGAAAAACTAAACTCTGTAAAATATTTTTAAAATGTTTTTTAAACCAATATGAGTGACCATAGCCCAAGGAAAAACACAAACCCAAGAATTCTGGTCCTGAGGTGGTTAAATTACAGATTGGTTTTACACACTTCAAGGAAGCAGGAGTTATATGCAAAAGCATACATTGATACCTGGAAAGTATACATTGGTTCGGCCCAAAAACGTAAGAGATCTTGAAGCAAGGACTTACAAGTCATAGGTGAATTCAGAGATTCTACAATCTGCAATTAAAGGAAGAAAAATTTGTCTAAAAGCTTGGAGTTACAGAAAGGAATTAAGTTATGAATGCTGTGTCAGAGTCAGCCACAATGTGACAGGTTTAGCAAGATTTATTGTTTGTAAGCATGACTTATCCCTTGCCTTCTATGGCCTTAGTCTTATTTATGATATGGCATCTTATTACCAATTTGTTTTGTTAGCCTGACGATATCTATTTTAACATTCATGCTGGTCAGTTGTTGTACCTAAAAAGGGAGAAAGTGTAACAAGGCACATCAGACCCTCCCTTATACTCTCTCCCTTTTGGACTTTAGGCACAATAGTTTGGAGTTTAGGCACAACAGTTTGGAGTTTAGGCACAACAGTTTGGAGTTTAGGCACTCCCAGTTTGGAGTTTAGGCACAACAGTTTGGAGTTTAGGCACTCCCAGTTTGGAGTTTAGGCACAACAGTTTGGAGTTTAGGCACTCCCAGTTTGGAGTTTAGGCACAACAGTTTGGACTTTAGGCACAACAGTTTGGAGTTTAGGCACAACAGTTTGGAGTTTAGGCACTCCCAGTTTGGAGTTTAGGCACAACAGTTTGGAGTTTAGGCACTCCCAGTTTGGAGTTTAGGCACAACAGTTTGGAGTTTAGGCACAACAGTTTGGAGTTTAGGCACAACAGTTTGGACTTTAGGCACAACAGTTTGGAGTTTAGGCACAACAGTTTGGAGTTTAGGCACTCCCAGTTTGGAGTTTAGGCACAACAGTTTGGAGTTTAGGCACTCCCAGTTTGGAGTTTAGGCACAACAGTTTGGAGTTTAGGCACTCCCAGTTTGGAGTTTAGGCACAACAGTTTGGACTTTAGGCACAACAGTTTGGAGTTTAGGCACAACAGTTTGGAGTTTAGGCACAACAGTTTGGACTTTAGGCACTCCCAGTTTGGAGTTTAGGCACAACAGTTTGGAGTTTAGGCACAACAGTTTGGAGTTTAGGCACAACAGTTTGGACTTTAGGCACTCCCAGTTTGGAGTTTAGGCACAACAGTTTGGAGTTTAGGCACAACAGTTTGGAGTTTAGGCACAACAGTTTGGAGTTTAGGCACTCCCAGTTTGGAGTTTAGGCACAACAGTTTGGACTTTAGGCACAACAGTTTGGACTTTAGGCACAACAGTTTGGACTTTAGGCACTCCCAGTTTGGAGTTTAGGCACAACAGTTTGGACTTTAGGCACAACAGTTTGGAGTTTAGGCACAACAGTTTGGACTTTAGGCACTCCCAGTTTGGAGTTTAGGCACAACAGTTTGGACTTTAGGCACTCCCAGTTTGGAGTTTAGGCACAACAGTTTGGACTTCAGGCACTCCCAGTTTGGAGTTTAGGCACAACAGTTTGGAGTTTACGCACAACAGTTTGGAGTTTAGGCACAACAGTTTGGACTTTAGGCACAACAGTTTGGAGTTTAGGCACTCCCAGTTTGTAAGTTTCTCTGGGGTTCCTTTGACCAAGAGGGGAGCTGCTCAGTTGGTGGGGAAGGGGGTGGTTTAGGATTTTATTTTTAGTTTACATGTGTTTTGCAATAAGTATTGTTCACCAAGACAAGTAACTGTTATTTCCATTCTCTCACAATTTACATCATTCATATAGTTTTTGTTAAAAGTTTCTCCACTTCTCATGCTGCTAACTTAATAGGATTTCCTATCCATGAATGCTTACGATGAGTGTGCTGTGATATGTTCCTTAGAGATACATGGTTTCAGCCCAGTGTGACTACCTTAAGCGAATACATCCTCTTCACAATACACTCTGGACAGATTCAGAGCCGGACACACAGGGTTCTGGTTATAGTTTGCAGGACTGAACCTGGGGCCCAGGTTGACCTGAAGCGCATATACTTCCTTCTCCAGATCTGCCCTGCCCTGGAGTGGGGAGCTTTGCTAGGGGGATGATGACAGCCACGCCAGCAGGGTTCCTCTAAGGCTCATACCTAATCTACCACCCATCAAATAAAAGGCAGGTCTCAGCCTATTTGTCCATTTACACATTTAGTTCCACATGACTCACCTCAATCTACTTTTTGCATGTCACTTGATCCCACTCTTGTTTTTCTAATTGTCTCCTTTCTTCTTACCTAAGCTCATCCTATGAAATCATTCTACTGTGTTTCTTCTTTTCTCCTATGTTGGGTCCTCATAATTTACCATAGGAGTTAGCAGCATCTGAGAAGTCAAGAGGTCTACATTTGTGCCTTGGCTCCTTCACTTGCTGGCTGTGTGACCTTGGGAAAACAACTTGACCTCTCTGAGCCTCAGCTTCTTAATCTGCAAAACAAGGGTGCAATGATTCCTTATCTTAGGAGTGTTGAGGCAAAAATAAGAACATACTGTACATACCAAGTACCCAGCAAATGTTTCTGTGGTGGGTACTTAAATATGTTAGTTCTTCATAACATTACTTTAGTAACATAACGTTACTCTTCGTAACATTACTTTTGTCTTTGGTATCACCATTGTCATCAGTAGAAGTGGTGTTTCTATGGTACAATGCTGTCTCAAGTGACTTGGATAATGCTCACGACTCCAGCCCCAGCTCAGCTCTACTTCCAGAAATCCCCATGGCCAAGGTTCTTGAACAGAGTGTTAATAAGTGCTTTATAGGTGAGGAGATGCTTATGAAATTCATGTCAAATCTGCTTCCAAGCATAGACCTGTATAATGCTCTGTTCCTTGAGATATCTTGCAAGACTGTCTTGGATAAGAAAATCCTTAATGACATTTTGATTATGCTTGCCATGTACTTTGGTATTGCTGACACAAAAATATGTCTAGAAAATAGACATTTTTCT